GTTTTTAATATAAAGTGATTTAGTCTGCTTCAACTTTGTTACTTTATTTAATTCGGAATGCTTTATAATTTATTTACGAAAATAATTACATAAATGGATAAAGTATTACGAGTGGAAGTTAGTGGCGGAGCATTTGCATAATTAAAGCGACAGTAGGTAGACATTTAAAATTATTTACATAACCCGGGATAGTATGAATAATTTATTCCACAAACAACGTATTTATTATTGAATATAGTCAGATAATATTTGTACTAACATTTTATCTAATAATTATAGTATAATAATAATAGGTGCATACATATATAAAGAGTATAATATATGTATTGTACATATTACACTCCTAAATAACGTTGTCAGATTTTGTGTAGGCAAAGTAGAATTTTGAAATATATTCAGTAAAAGTTGCGGCATTTTTTTGTTGAAAGCGGAACCTAACTAAAAACAAACGTCCTAGCAACGGTCGTCCTGAGCACGACGCTATAGGAACATAAAAAAAGAATTGATGTACAACGTGCAACGTACAATAAAAAATAAAAAGGCCATCAGGTTCGCGACTATTCCGAAATGAATTTGTACGAGCGGGACATTTATTTGGTACATTTGGTAACTGTACTTTTACACCACAGGTAAGATATATTACACTATTGGAAGAGAACGACGTCTGATGAGTTTGATAGTATTATACAAATAAATATTCCCTGAATATATGTATATTTATTAGGTACTTATTGTATTTTGAATGGTGTAAGAAAAAATACAATGAAATAACACTTACAACTTTATCCATTTAATGCTTATAAATTTCGGTTACGGCAATAAAAGCTTATAGCAGATTGCAAGCGGCCATTAAATTGCATACTCTTGCATAAGATGGCTTCCCAATCACTAATCTTATTTGGTAGATATTATTTTAGAATCGATACTAAAAAAGACATTAGCATTTTGATGAAAATCGATTATCTTCTAAGAATGTCCACAGTTGGCCAACTACGTGTTTCTCTATTATAATGTAGTAACTTTCTCTAAGTGACCTATGGCTTTGTAATGACGAAATCTTATTTTATAAAAAGTTACGAAACGAAAGCCAAAACTCAAATTTTTTTAAGGTTACTATTATTTGTCTCCTCGTATATCCTTGTACATGTATACAGGTTACAGTTAACATTTACCGTCAAGTGGCCGTCTGCTATTTGTCATACTAATTATAAATAAAGAGTATAACTTTGATTAGGTTTACATTTTCTTAATATTTTTTTAAATTTTTCTTCACTAATTTATTTCTACACCACATCATCACAGATTTATACAACATTTACTAGATAAAAACTTTACCTTTTATTATCCGGATAAAAATAATAATTAATTCCTCAATGGTACCTAGTGTTCTGTCTTGACGTTATTTTGCTGTCGTCTGGAGATGATATACATAAATTACTGAATTAAACTGTTTATTACCCGTCACTATCTATTTTTCAGTTCACTATTCTATTCATTAGTTATTCTGTTTAATCCATCCAAGTAGATAAATAGTCCACAAAATATACAATAATGTATATATTTTAAATTCCAATTGATTGGACAATAAGTTGTTGTTGACGGATTTATTTAAAATGATTATCAAGCTGCTTTTACTATAAATATTAATTATCAATTATTCGATAAATCATAAACATGTCGGCCGTTATCAAAACATTTAGGAGTTCACTTTCGATGGTTTGTTACTCATTTAGTCTATGCTATTGTATAAATACAATAAGAGATTATCAAACATCCAATATAACAATGACTAAATCGAAATTCACTCTCATTTGATAAAAAGTTGAGCGCATCGATTAATCTCGATTAATCGTGCTCAAAATCAACTACATAACCTAGTATGAGCCTTGTTCCACTGACATAAGATCTAAATAAGTAACCGGTTCCTGCGGCGTTCCCTCTTTTCACTGTATGTAAGACACCACAGTTTCACTATAAACACTATTCACCCTAGCTACTTCTTTTATTTTCAATGCAAAGTTATTATTAAAAGCGTTTATTATCGAATTTCTGAAACGTTATAGTGTCTATTTTCGAAATATTTAATAATAATTATTGGTTAGTTAACAACTATTAATATCTTTTTATTTCATCCGCTTTTTTAATAAAACATAATCTGTGTCCGATTTATAATAAAATACATTTTAACGTTAAATTTCACATTAGTAGGCTAAAATAACCATTTGGATGTACAGTTTAGTATTTATAATATTAAATAACATGAATTATGGTAGTTAATAAGTGATTCCAAGTAAAATATATACAAATATATCTACCACTAAAATTGTTATATCTACTTCATATATCGTTAAGAAATTTTTAAAAAGGTATTTGCTTATAATCATTATCAAATTTTACATTTTGTCTCTTATATACCTAATAAGCGTATTATTACATATTTTTAAAAATTACATGTAAATAATTAACTAATAATATTTTTTTTACTTTATCACTCAAAATCAATTTAGTATTTGACCAATCAAGTACATTTCGAGGATTTACGAATGTGATAAACTATTTCTTGACATTACATTATTCATAATTAAAAATATAATTATCGTTGCGATAACAAATTCGAGATTTAAACATTGTAATAGTGGGTAAATGGTGTAAAAACAGTTAACTGTAAAATAATAGGTATATAATAAATACGAAACTTTAAAAATACGTAAGTATTATTCTTTAAATATTTTCCTACTATGATATATCATAAATTTAACACAAAGTTTTTTGGTAATACTGGAAATGGTTGGTACCTAATGCTGTTAAAATTTACTATAACGACGTAGAAATCCTGGTGGTTTACGCTTGACAAGTTATGTATTTTATTTAACCGCATCAGTAACTAGTATCGCAGTCATTAGCAGACAATGAAGTTAGCTAATTAGAGTAGGTATCAAAAGGTGTTTTTAACGCACTTATTTCCAGTTTTTCGTTGTAATTTTGCAATAGGCTCGTTAGCTAAGGTTATTTAAACATGTATTTTATTATATAGATATTTAACCTCAGTTTCATCGTATAAAATAGTAATGAATGGTTACAAATGCATCCTATTATTAATTCAGGTCATGCTCAACCTGCCAGCCAGCCTTTAATTTCGGAATATGTTCGAATTATAAATTTTAGGTTTATTTATATGCTAGCACGTACAAAAAGTTTATAACTACGTACGTTACATATTAAAATTTTATAATTATGAGATCTTTTTATAATTGTCATTGTCAATATATTTAATACGATATGTTATACACATACATCTATAAATTTATGCGAATGGGGTAAAGAGTGAACGTTTAAATATTTAATTAGGTCGTAATGAATACATCAATTTAGTTATATATGTAATTTATTTATTCATTAATACATTGAACGTACATTTTTTTTTTGAGAAATTCAATCCTACAAAATGTACTAGTTAAAAATTAATAAATGTTACAATTACGAAAAATAAAAATATTATCGATCATTTTCTGTTAGATATATGGTAATGATAAAAAACTATCATTATGAATATGACCATTGTATGAGGACTGAATACAATGATTTTTAAACCATGCATTTGTTCGCTTTAACATCAGAAACGGCATAACTAAATTAAGTGCGGTATTCACTGATTGTTGTGTTGTTGTTTAAGCTTCGTTTAAAATTTTTTGCCTGATTTATTTCTATTGATTCACAAATAAAATGTTATATAAGTTCATCCGTACCTGAAGTGGCGTGTACATATAAAATAACATGTTCTTAATTAAATGAAATTAAAAAATATATAAAAATATCACCATAAAATATTAAATAAGTATTGTCTGCGTATAAATATAAAATTTATAACTTACCTATCGGATATCGAATAAGTTAGATAACTTATTGATCATATTCATTTTGCAAGTCTGATAAGTAAGCTTTCAAAAGTGAAAGAGTCGTAAGAAATTGTTATTAACGACTTTATGTTAATTAATAAACTTTCAGATGAGGCAAATTTTATATGTAGCTACTATGTACTTGTCATATGGTTAACCTTTTATGTTGTAGATATAAAACGTAAATTAAGTTATAATATACATGTAGTATTTTCAATAATATTATAAACGCGATAATTTGTGAATATGGATGTTTATTACTTTTATAGTAGCAATCATAACAATTATATCGTAATATAATTGTTATGATTGCTATTTTGTGATTGGTGATAGAAAAATATAAATTTTTATAACTTTTACCCCAGAACATATTAAATCCATGCGCAAAAGCATGGATTTAATTGTTATATAGGATACTAATATATCGGAGTTTTCTAGGCTATACTTGGTTTCAAGTTATGTGGTAATATAATTTGATACTGATGTATATAATATCAACGGTTTGATATATATTTAATTTAATAGCATCTATGATTTAAATAAAAAAAATAATTTTTATATTTGACTTACATTTAAATTTAAATATTATCATTTTTGTATGCGACATTTTATGCACAAACACAATGTGGCAATAATAATATGAATGAATACCAAATAAAATACCTACATTGTAATTTCAAAGGTGACTCAGAGTCACACATCCTTTTCGAATTTTAATAAATGACTAAGTAGGTATAGCGGTGTTTTATTTTCCTATATGTTTAAACCTGCTGAATAAGTAATAACATGTATTCGGAATATACACGTAAATATTAACATTTATTGCGGATTACAGAGAGATTGACTAATCAGGTTACGACGAAGATTTTCTGTACCAATTCAATAAGCTGTAATGCTGTCATAACTTTTTTCAATCTGATTGTAAATGATAAAATTTAGGGCGGTTGCACACTATAAGTTACAATAGAAATGTCAATTCGATTGCTCCAAATAGTACAAGCGATACAAATACCACATTCGAGGTTGAAACTGTCCGTTGAGCATTCTCGATTAACATTCGCTCACTTACAAATCGATTTTTCGCACAACCATTGTTCCACTCACCTTGAGCCGTAGCCGGCGCTTGAGCAGCCATCCAAACAATAAGTGAAATACACAGTAACATATTGTAATTGTCCTCAACTAGCACATGTAATCACTCGTTTAGATTCATCACATCACCCACTACACATGGATATTCAAAAAAGTGCGCGAAAGTAAAAGTTTGCCATCGGCCGTTGACTCTGGTGGTCAAAGCTTGGGTGTCGTGTGGTGTTGAACGTCCGCGGCAGACTGGCAAGAGCCAGTGTGCCCCCACCGCAAGCTGCCTTTCACCGTTACAGTTTAAAGACTGTTGAGTGTTGAGCAAGGCTCTACGATGACTGACATTCAACAAAAACGGGCCATCGAGTACGGAAATAGTCCTGGGAGATTTCGGACTGAATAAGGTCGTGTTTGCTTGTTCGAAGTAGAGTAGAAGGTTAATGTTTGATTAAATTATGTGAAGTGTGGGTAGTTAAGTGTTCAACGATATGAGTAAAATAAAAGATGGAATTGGATAGTTATGATATATTATATTTTATTATAATAATTTATGAAACAAAGAATAAACTAATATGTTTTCTTAACAAATACGTTATTAAAAAAGTTGTTTATTGTTTTATTTTAATACTATCTCAAATTTTTAATCGATAGTTCTATAGATCCTTCAGTAGTTATAATTGATAGATATATGAACGGGCGAAGTCGAAGAAGTGTTTTACTATACAATTTTGTTACGAAATCCTTGTGTAACACTATCCGCAAATAACACCGCAATAAACTTTACATTACTAATATTATAAAGATTTTGCAGAAAAACATTTAGCCTAGACCCTGGAGGACAATAATATAAGGATAATAAGGACATAGGCTACTTTTTAATGCGAAAAAAGGGTTGTAAGGGTTTAAAGAGGAGACAAAATATTGAATGGAGGTCCTCGTTTTTAAAACCTTCTGGTTTTAAAAATGACGATACCTCCAAAGCTTAAAATTTATTTTTTAGGCTGATGCTTAAAAATTACATTCAAACTTTGTAAAAATAAATACGTTGTTTTTGAAGCTAGAACTGTAATAATAATAATATATTTATATTTCTCCACACAAACATATACATAATATAAAGTAAAACAGATCCTTTGAAGCAAATAAACTTTTTTCTTTAGAGATTTTGGGTGAGACTATTTTTTTTTCTTTATTTTGTCAAGGTCAATTCAAATAAACACGCCACGCGGACGCAGTCGCGGACACAGCTAGAATGATATCAGATAAGAATTTGTTTCTAAAACAACGTTATGTGTTATATTTTATATGTTAAAAAATATATATGTTATAATTTGTCACAATGACAATGATCAAGCATTTTCAGATTTGCCAACCAATTTCCCATTGACATCAAGTGCACTTGATGTGCTCGATGGAGTTACATTGTTTAGTTCCAGAGTTCCGATGGCTATCTACTAGCTACATAAGCCAACTGATTGTTACCAAATACAGTCATTCCCCTTGTGACTGGAGCGAGAACACAACAACTATTTTATTGGAAATCAGAATATCAGTAATAAACCTGTATATTACCCAAAAGGGAACTCACAGCGAAGCAGGAATGTAGACATATATAAAACAGATATCAAAAATACTATATAATATAAAAAGAATGGTGGACAAGCTGCCAGCAACACCCCTTTCATATATTCCAAATTCAAGTTCAGTCGGTTGAAATTACAGTCTTAATTTTCAATTGAAAGACGTGATCAATAATAAGACGGTAAGTTAAATAATAACTTATAAAAATTTCTATAATTCTGTTTTCTGTATTTTCTCTCCTATCATGATTTACATCCATCATCTTTCCCCACGTCTGTTGTATGTACTCATAATACTATAATAAGGCGAGCTTGCCCTTATAACACTCTCAGTATGGTCGATGAACGCATTCAGAGATATACATACGCCCACGACCGACTTGTTCACTCGCTGTTTGGTAGTTTGTATTAACACCATATCGTAAGCATCTAAACTTGTATATAGAATATATTTTAAAAAGCACCAGCCTACTCTCTATATGCTTTCCCTTCTCCATAACATTCTTCTTAACTCTAATCATGTTAATCTGAGATCTTCAGAGAATCTCTAGTTAAAAATACAGTATTATTTTTAATGACAAATCATTCATTAGCTGTCCACATTTAAAATGAGCAGCCATTGTCTATACGTTAATTATCTTCTTTGTGGACAGCTTATTTTAGGAAAGGAAAATAACTAATATAAAAGTTGAACAGAAACATAATATTTTTTTAAAACTGTTTATTGAAAAATTACTAAAGATACGCATACACAAAAAATACGATATACTCTATTTAAAAAAAATAGAATAAAAAAAACCTCAACATCATATTGCGTGTAAAATATCACTACGTAATTTATCACCCTAGTTACATAATTCATCATCAAGTGACATCCATAATACAACAGATGCGTTACTACTGGTAACCGAGACGATGATGGCTTTATCGTGTGACAAAAGAAGAGGCGCACGAAGAGAGCCAATCGGAACCACTGGGGCACTACACCCACCGGACCCAACTTATGGTTGCATATTGCAACACTGACCACGATAATATACCAATTCCGTCTACACTATGCCACCAAGGAGCACGACAACTTAGACGCAGCTTGAGTCTAGTCATAACGCGAGTTTCAAGATGTTTGTGGCCCGGGTCCCCATTAACATGAAGGAGGACTGGCCACCGGGGATGGTACGGCGGTATCGGCGACACCGTAGCACATTGCAGTCGTCAGTACCGACCGCAGAGACATCAACAATTTATATTTATATAATTTTTTATATTTTGCAATTTATATTTTTCTATAAAGTTTTTATAATAGCCATCAGTAGTATGAAAAAAAATAAAGTACTAGAATAACTAGGATAATATAATACCAATAATGTATAATTTATCTGCCTTACTCTTCAATCAAAACAGATCTTACAAAGCAATCTTGGCAGCTTGACCTGTGCTCAGTTTCTGCAGTCAACTTTGTACTAAGACTACAAAATATTCTCTAGTCATCAAATTATCTAGTAAATAGATAAAAAAAAAACTATTACAAGTCAAATACTTATAAATACGAATAAATCTTATTTCTATTTCGAATCTACCTCATACCACTGCACTGTCACCTATCAGTTTGCATTTTAAATGCACTGTAAATCTGCTCGGGTCACTAATTGACAATAGCTTCCATATTAAGCCGAGGCTATTCATGGCACAGTCGGACGTATGCGATAAAATTATTCCAGTTCCTAAATTAAGTAGATTAAAATTTATTCTGAAACGTCTTTTAAATTCATCTACTATTTTTATAAATGTCTATCCTTATTAATCCGTCCTAGATTCTCCTCATATAGGAGCCATATTTTTGCACTTGTAATTTTTTAGCAGGGATATCAACCGTATGAGGATCCTAGAATAAATACGATATTTTTGAGGTATTTTTTGTATACTTTTAAAGCATTTATTTATAAATTGGTCAAAATTATATAATCCTGGACAATCCACACTGCGCCTTCTAGTACCAAGCTAAGCTGTGGGTACTAGACAACTGATAGAAATACTTAGATACATTATTTTTATAAATACATACAGACTTATGAATATATGACATATTCATCAATACAAATAAGTATTTCTGCCGTGCGAGGAATCGAAATCGTCATCAACAAAAGCATAAATAAATAATATTCTAAATTAAGGCAATGTACAAAATTCTATGTTTAAATACTAGGTTCTAACCAAATTGAACGAATGTAACAGATTTCGTTAGTATTTTTATTTAGTACAAGTGTTTTGTAGTACAATTGACGTCTCTTAAACGAATAAAATAGCTAATACTTTGATGTATCGCTCTGATGCCAATTTTAATAGCAGTTATTTGTATCCATAGACATAGACAGCACCATGAATATCACAAAATTCTATGTCTGTGGTATGCATGAGTACTAAGTTTTCACCCTGAGGATTTTTTTATGATAATGAAAAAGTACACTAGCCTTGCTAATGGTATACGCTGGCACCCCACCACTGGAGGATGATATTAATTCATTAATTTAGTAATTTATTTATTTCATATTATTTGTACAGATAATTTAAGAAGTTCCTTACTTCTGAAGTAGGTATAGAAAACACCTATGTTGCTCATTGATTGGTCTCTTAGCTCATCATAACAAACTTTCTAGGAGTTAATCACTATGGTTTCTACGGAGACCTCGTGGAGATCGAGCTGGTATCGTATATGTATTTGTAGCAATGGGTTCACTAATAATCTCCTTCCCGCAATCGATGAGAATTATATTGTTACATAACCATTAATTTCTCGTGTCTTGTTGGCAAAAAGGCGACTATATAAAATCTACACCAGTAGGTGTTTTAGGATTTTATATTCATGTTTTTTTGACAGCATTGATTTTATTGGAAATGGCCAATAAGCTTACGGCCCACCTGATAATCTATTCTAATATTATAAAGAGTAATCTCTGTACCTACAGAACCGATTTTGAAAGTTGGTTTTAGTGTTGAATTGTTTTAGCCCATTTATCCAGGATACAGGAGATGTAACAACACTACGGCAAATAAAAGGAGGTGCAATGAAAAGTGTTGTAAAACGGGAAATGTGACGTAGACGAAGTTGAGCGGGTCAACTAGTCGTTTATATTCTCATTCATGAATAGCACCACGGACACCATTTCATGTACCTCATTAGCAGGCCTCATGCGTACCAATCTAGAGGAATACTCAGTAATTTCACTGCCATATCTTACCGTCGTCCCTCCATCATCCTCTTCGTCTTTGTCTCATCTACTTTGTTTCGGTTGAGAGCACTATGTACTTAGTCTACTTCGCTTAAAATATGGAAAGAAATAAAAAACGCTTGTATTAGACACTCAGTATATATTGTATTGTGAGATAAGTACAGTTAATAGAATCCGTTAGGATATAATATAATATACATAGTAAGGTACATAGGGCATTATTTAGAGCTGTGCTTGATACTATTCTGAATACTGTAACATGCTATCTGAGATGACCCTCTTACTTAAAAATCACTAAACATATCTATTCTCTTGCGATATATTAGCTTATTTCTGATAGTTAAACATTAGCCGTCAAATATATAATGGAATTTCAAGTTTAGTGATCTTTAAGTAAGGGAGTAGTAATTATTGCTTGAACAATTATTTTTATTAGTACCTATTTGAAATATGCGTAATACAGTTTTATTAACTACTAAAGAGATTAAAATTTATTATTAATTTTATAACATTTATAGTTGCATGTACAGTCACTTGGAATAATATGCATTTTTTATTTATGTTCGCACTATTTATGGAAATATTTTTTGTAATTGTCACTCGTATACTTTTATTTATATAATAGCATGAAGTATTATTAATTATTACATGTGACTGTACTATAAAAGGAGATTATCGCCATAACATCTATTGCAAACATTTACTACATAAGAAATTCCTAACTCTCAATATATTATTCCTATAGGCCTAAAAATAGGTAGGTATGTTGTGAATATTGTAGTGGTCCGGATTGGATTTGATTCACATTTTTCTATTTAATAATAATTTGACAGACTTTTAAAAATACTTCAAAAATCCGGCATGTATATATCAGTCGGATTCTTATCCCAAGGGTTCCATTCATTATACTAAACAAAAAACAATATATATTTTTACTAAATATAAAACAAAGTGATTTAATTTTTAAATTAAATTTAAATTAAAATTTATACTTAAATAAAAGTCTTGTATAAGAACGATTTATTTCAGACTTTTTTTCAGAAATGACTGTATTATTGAATTAATTTAACATGAAGTATAGAATACTTTTAATTCTTTTCAAAATTGGGAACCCTCGAGAATTAAATATTATCGACAATGGTCGCAGTCTTTCGTCGCATTCAGTCGCTGTAACATCGATACATGTACTATCGTCAATAATCATGAATAATCGCAGATAACCGGCAGTGTAATATTATATTAACGACGTAGGTAAACAATAGTAAAACTTCTGTAACATCGAGAACTAAAATATCATGATTTTACATTGCCGACTGTACATGATCACTCTGCCAATACGCGACTAAGGATTGTTTTAATTTTAAATTTTAACAATACAAAATTTATAGCCAATTATAATTATCCTGGTCCAATAATAATATTTATATGGAAATTACTTAGTTTACAATATAATAAATATATTATATATGTATAATTTCCAATAACAGTCTTCCATTATACGCTTGTATCTATGTTATACTTAAATTTGCAGGCGAAGTGTGAAGGCGTAATAAATTCAGCAAGCAAAGGTAAATTGTGTAAACAGCTTTATAAAATGAATTTGACATTACCAAGCTGCTATTAGGTTATCAATTTCATGAAATACGTATATTATCATATTAAGTAAGTATTTAATATCTATGAGTATATTAATGTGCAACTTTATAACACCTACGTATTATGTGCATATGTATAAGTATCTATTTTATATTGTAAGTATATAGGAAATTGAAAGTCAATTGAAATTCGTTTAAAATGCGCATATTTTGAATACTAAATAACCTATTAAACCAATAAGGTGACCCTAGGACGGAAATATTAAGAATGGATGTATATGTGTGCGGCAACAAATGGACGTAAAACGCATACAATGCTACTGTTAAATATATAAAATAAACTATTTATCGAAAGTTTTTGCTTTATCTCAAATTCGTTACATATACTCTTCAACTGTAAAGTAGAAGAATATAACGATACCTTGTTTATGTTGTTTATTAATAAAACTACTAATACCCAATAAGCTATGTTGGCTTCAAAAATACGCAATTAATAAATATATTACATGAAGATTATTTTTATATTTACCAGATGGATAAATAAATATTCCTGATACAACTTCTTAAGAGGTAATCAGATTTATTAATTGGTTCGTAACATAATTTTAATTAGTATAATGTGATTGAAAAATAATACTTTTCATTAAATTAACATATTTTTGTTGCAATAATGAGATTAACGGGATCGCAGTATTAAAATTAAAAAATAAATATCAATAAATTAGAATAGTATTGTAATGTAACTTATTGCTAGAAAATAGAGATATTTGGCACTCGATTCTGTCTGCCTACGCCGTCATACGATCATTGATAATATAGTATTATTGATTATTTCGTGAAAATATCTATATTTTGGTTACTTCAGTTCAAGGTGGCTAGATATGTTTATTGCTATTGTGTTTCCGAAGGCGTTTAAATGTTTTTGTATTTTAATATACTAATTACTTTTTTATTTAATTGGCTTTAACTATAGATAAATTATAATTAAATGTATATAAAACACTATTGATAATATCAACAGAAATATTTAAATAATCTCCTACTACAGAATGTTTTTACTTCTGCCAGGTATAATAGACCGAAATGATTATAAAATAAAGTTCTTCAAGTAATTAAAAGCTTGAATAAAGTTATATTACCTTTTTTAGAGTAATTTTATTAAAGCTTACGTACATATTATATATTGATACAAAGCAAGATACATATAACAAATGAAAATATAGGGTATACCAAATATTTTGGAAAGAGTTTACCAAATATTTGTTACCTAATAAATCCATAAAAATTATTTCATTTTGCATTAAAATAAATTAAAAAAAGTACATTAAACTACCATAGATACTACGACAAGTTTGCACGGTACAGTTATACACGTACTTACAAGATTCTATGGAAATATTGGAAGTTCTTCTATGGCATTAAAATTGTCCTCAAGTTACCAATTTGCCTACGTCTATAAGTGAAATTATTTAAATTTATAATAAAAATTATACTATTACAGAATACGAATAGATTTATGTACAATAGAAAAAAATAATAAAAAGCATAGTAAATGCATATGTAATGATACCAATAGATACCTACCTATAATATAAATGAATATATATATTTTTATAAACAATATCTCTAAGTTTAAAAATGTATACATAGTCTTGCATGCTATTATAGTGAATATTAGTGTATGATATATAGCTTTTTACCTCTATCTTACTTAAATTTTATATATCTTTTTTTTTCATTTTTTTTTTTATTTTTCAATAGTTATGGACGAGAATATCATATGATAAGAAGGCTTTTAAATATTTGACTTAGTATCTATAATAAATTCAACAATAATTTATGGTAACAATGGAAATGGATCAGACCCACATGTTTTTAGTAATTACGATTTTCTCGAATAGTTATTTTAAACATTGTAAAATTCTCACAAAGTTTAACATTTAGTGACATTTAAAATAGCGTATTCAACAATTCTGATTTTACTTTCATTTAATATGTTTTTTTCTTAAAAATATAAAACTCTATTATCTTAGCAAAAATATCATAATTGTGTCAGATTGGCCTTATTTTTATTATTATATCTGACCATAAATTTTCTCTTCAAATGCTCCTATATTGATTGGCAAAATTCATTGGCATAATCGAGTAAGCTCTTGATTTATTAGCTAACTATAATCTCACTATAAACTTGTTACAATTCCTTAGCGTTTCTTTAATTATTATTCTTATAACAACATATCAAAAATAATGCGAGAAAGCCACGAAAATTTAATAAAGATTTCTACACTAAATAATAGAAAACATTGATATCATATTATTTATGAAAATAATCAACCGACTACAGTTGAATATTTTGTGTACTTCCACTGTATGTTTTATACCTGAACACATACAACTGTGGTACGTTTAAAAAACTACTTTTATTTTTTATAGCAGCACCCATTGTGTTGTTGATCAATTTTAATGTTAAATACATGTTGTCTACGCAACGCAACGCAGTTAACAACTTGCACCTATTGCTTCATTCAGTATCTTTGGTTATATAATGCAATTATTCTAAAAAGTAGATTTTAATAGTTAATATGTAGGTAATTTATTTAGTATTATATTAAAAATGGATATTATGCACTTTAGGACGATATTCAAGCATATTTTTACTACTAAGAATTTTATTACTAACAAGATACTTATATGACTATAAGAAATTCAATTTTTAGTTGCACTGATATTGTTTGTGATTATGTATGGGTAAAAGGCTAAGGCCCCAACATAGCTATTATATTATTAATAAATTAGTATAAAAATCATTTCAGGGTATTTAATTAATTTCCTCCGTACCTATCATTTTGTGCCAGTTAAGTTAACAAATGTTGGTTACAATTTAGATATTTAAAAACTTCTAAAATATAAGTACCCAGATAGACACAACATCAAATATAACGTTTATACACTTACGATATAAAGAATTATAACATTTATATAAGCAAAATAGAAAAGGCATGGCCTACTCAATTTTATGTACTAACAATTCCTATTAAAATCACTGTTTCGCATATAAATGCATTTACAATTGGCAGAAAATTATTTTTGTGCTTAAATTTTCAGAAGCACCATAAACAATACTTATATTCATACATCAATCCATATAATTAGCAGGTATCGATGTCGATATATATCAGCGATTCGATACTTACATTAGAAATTACAATTGTGATTCGTTAATAACTAAATAAGCAAAAACACATAAATAACATATAGAGATTAACATATTTTTTTTTGTTTTTCATGCCTAAATAATAACATTGGAATGTATCATCAGATCCATAAATCGGGGTTCACGAATATTAAACAATGAAATATAAATAGAATATTCTAAGATTAAAAGAATAGGTACTTATAATGATTAAAACTTTATCATAATTCATTAAAATTTACCAACTATGATAATACATATAGTGTAGTATAGTCTAGTAAAGTGTAGTCTATTGTAGTAAACTTTTATGAATTATGATAAAAAATATATACTTACACAGTCTTTGGGTATCAGCAGATGTATTGACATCTATTAGATTACTCATTAGAAATATTCCATTCTTATTTACCCAAAATTTACTCCATATAACTAATTAGTATACTCCATGTACAAAGAATGTTAAGTGGACAAGTTCTTGATTCAGAATAAATTTTGGTTACATATAAGAAAGCGCTCAGCAATTTATATTTCAATTTATCTAGGAATATATTCATTCAAATAAATTCGCTTAATGAATGTATTAGTATTTGTAAAGAACCCAAAAGTAGGGAAAGTGTATTTTAAAGCATGTAAACTATGATTATAATTATTATATTATTAAAATTGTGCGATTCAGTAATGTGAATTCCTATTGAAGTCTTTATAATTTAGGCAGTTACATTTTAATATAATACTTGACATTTGTGCACGTCTCAATTGCTAAAATTGTTGTTGCATAAGTATAATGAATAACACTGAATATATGTTAACATAGAATAGATAGAACACATTTTTATTAGAAGAAATTTATTTGCCTCGAGAGCAGAATCATAACTCTTGAGTTTCGCGTGAGGAAGAGGCACCTCTCTGGGGGCTGTTTGCGTTAACAGCCTGATGCATAATATGGACCCTAACATCGCCAGTCGTTGATTTGTATTCAATGGCACGTCGATGACGGTTACTGAACGATCCTGTCAGGGTACTCTTACAGCAACAATAGTAAAAGAGATGAGCAAATGCGCGTCTAAAACTCCTATTCATAGAGCTGTATAGGAAGCTCGAGAAGACAGAACGACAAACAGCAATCCATGCGCAATGATAGAACTTGTCATCGTTGGTGTCAGGGTATTCGTGAAGAATGACCAGGTAGGGTGTCCATGACAATACATAGAGCACGTAGGCGCTAACATTCAGATTGGTGGTCGAAAAGTCCCTCTCGTATTGCTGAGATCGTTTGTAGTGGGTCTGATCGCGGGAGCGCTTGCGCACTTGTACGCAGGAGGAGATGAGACCAAACATCGTTATCAAACATGGAATAGCATGGAAGATCACGGTAGTAGTTACTCTGTAGTAGAAGTTCCCATAATGACGGCGTTGGCAGTAATCATAATCGAGGCCGAGGTAGACACCGATCCCGGCGGTAACGAAGCTGATGGTGAAGACCACAATAGCTACCAGGCCAATACGTATAGATATAAACATTTCATATTCGGCTGTTGTACGACAGAGTCTGTAGTAAGATTCTGTAGCCACGAGCTGTGAAAGAACACCTATATTAACACATTTGACAAAGTTCTTCACAACAGCTTGCATTCTGGAATATGTTATAGCGTATAATAAAAGTTGTTTTTGTGAAAATATGCTTGAAACTTAGAGTTTTGTAATACTAATTGTAATATTTCAAAACTCTAAGTTTAATAATACGTAAACCAATTATCAAATTTCATTAATTAATTGGAACATTGCAATTAAGTTTCGGTAAATGGTAAAAATAGGAAGAATGTAGTTGTTATTTCTCTTAATAACAACTACATTCTTCCTATTTTTAAAGATCAATTCTATAGTTTTATTATTAACATTATAACTTACCGTAAAGAACAAACTGTAGCTATAAGTAGAAGCTTCCGTGAGGAACTGTAAGACGTGACACACAGGTATGGTGTCCCATTCTCCGGCAGATAATAGGACAACAGCCGAAACCGGCATCACGCCCGTTGTCACAATCAGATCAGACATACCGATGCATGCCAGGAAGACATTGCCTATAAATATAAACATCTGTTGCCGTAACATTGTAACTTTTGATAAATTGCAAATAGACAGCTACTATATTAAGTTTGAACACTAGGAATAATATTTCAAAAGCGGGTATATAAAATAGAATATGTAAAACGATATAGATATCAATTAATAGATAGCAAACCCGCTTCACAAATTCTATTTTTGTCCACAACGTAAGTGTTTCAACGTTTTTATATACCTTTTAATTTATACAATATCTCAATTTCTACAATTGATAAATTGGAAACTGGAATGCCAGACTGTAAGAATATTTATTAAATATAAGTTAACTAAAAATCATGCTCTTGAAAAGTAATGGATGAATAACAGCTTTGTTTTCAGTAATCACGAAATTATGGTATCATTGTACCTATCACTTTACTTCAGGTAAGGAACTCTATAATGTTTCTGCATGTGCCATAAAAAGAAGAAAATATTTTTATTAACACCATTAGTTGGTGTTAATATCTATCTAGATATCATAGATGACTAGTCATCTATGATTTCTCCCGTGCCAGTAACTCTTCAAGTTTAGAAACAATAAAGTTACGCCCTTCATTCACGTTTTATAAGAATTAAACGAAATGTAATATTTATGTATATTAAGATTTTATATTATACTGATCTAAAGTTATATAATTATCCAAATATCGTAAAGTAAGCCATAGAGTTTATCAAAATAGTTACTAAAAAAGCTTTTTAACTATTGCCCTAGTTACGGGGTATGTAAACTCCGTATAGTGCAGCAGAATGTGTATTCCATGTAAACATGCCGATGAGCTGAACGTGGTATGTGCAATAAAATGTCGAGTGAATTCCGATAGCGACAACAAACAAAGGCATGTTAAAAATATTTTAAAATACTCTTTTCTGTATGTATGTATGTAGTAGCAACGTCCGCGTCAAATTAAAAAAAGGTAATAAAGTAAAGTAACTGTTCAACCTATTTAGGTAAAATGAAATTGTACGTACCAATTTTGTTCAGGGTATGTTCAACGAAGAAGGCGGCAACGAAAAATCCGTTGATAGTGGTGCCGAGGCATGAAGAGATCACCATAAAGAGAAGCCGGCTGAGGGTTGGCCACTCATGACTCAGGGTCACCGGAGAGTACCGGGTCCCGTTGAACATAGTGCCTAGCCCATGCATGGCGCCTGCTACATTAAAATTATTATATGGGGGGAAGGAATTATTTGCAATGAGGATAAGTGATTACCATTGCACCATCAGATCATTCTCTACGCGGTCCTCCTGAACACCACCTTGTGAATTCGTCTTGATGGGTTTACTCATCAGAGTTCAGCAGCCACTACTGTATCAACAGCGTGTGTACCTACCACCTTCATCACATTCACACAACACATTTGCATCTATTAAAAAGCAATTATATATATACTACCTATGACTAATTGGGGCTTATGACTTGGTACGTGTATAAACATTTTTTTAAATAATATTGAAATAGACAAAAAATTTTATAATAAAATTAAAAAATTGTACCAGTTGAAATTCTTTTAAATTATGACACAAGAGATTGAAAGATAAATTTTGAATTTGAGTTTGATGGTAGGTGATAACCATCCCCTATATACATGGATAGCCCTACGGATATCACATTGTCATATAACGCCGGTAATAAAGCTCATGAGTTGCCATTCCAGAAGAATATGACACGCCACGCTGCTTGGCTGGAATGGGTGAGACTGAGGTTCCCACGCACATGACTGAGACCATGATAAAACTGATTCTGATAGGGAAATACCTAATAGGCGAATGTTCTTCTCAATTTAAGACTATGCAAGCATATTATTATGCCAAAGTGTAAAGTAACAAATAAACTCACTTAGATACGCATTTGTATCATTAGAAGTTAATCTTATCTTTTTTTTATTCGCACTCACCACCTAAATATTATATTGTATAGCAATACTAGAAAACTATGAACCGGCACGATCGGTTTATATAATTGAAAAATAAAATAGATGTGGCGCGCCTACGAGTATCTGCGGTTTTATAAAATCTTTCATAGCAATTTCTTTTGTCCCGGTTAAATATCATATAAAGCACGTACCAACCTAGATTTCCCGAGTGTTAACTCGGCAAAAGTGATTAGGTACGCGAACCGGCTTGTCTTATTTGAATATTCCGTGGTGAAGAATAATTGGTACAGATAGGTACTTGTACTAGAACTAGGGTATTTTATGTACTATCTACAACTATATATCTGTATTGTATTGGGGGAAGGGATTATTCGTAATGTGAATTAGCAACGTCATGTCTTGTTGAACTCCACGCGGTCCCACTTGAAACCATACCGGTTAATTCCTGGGAAATTGACAACGAAGGACTGCATGACCTGGCTTCATCATCACCTATATCCTCCACTGATGTCGGCGGGTACACCATACCATATTTGTTTTCTAATTTGTACTATATTATAAAGAGAAAAGATTTGATCGTTTGTAATAGATGAACTAAAAAGGACTGAATCATTTTATAAAATTTGTATACTTGGAAGGATACTATAAAAACCTATATAATTTATTAGCTAGTAATATAGACTGTATTTCACATGGGAAGCTATTTACAAAATTTTGTTTTTGCCAGCTCATTAACACAGAATATCTATTTTTTGTTATATAAATAATAATAATTAATAAAAATAAAAACTAGTATTGTAAATACAAAAGTGTTTGTTATTTTTTCACAACATTTAAGATTCCATTTAAGATAGCCTACACGGCTGAACAGATCTTAAAAATATAAAGTATGACCAGGACGGACTTAAGATGCCTTTTATAGAAGTAGCCGTGGAGGTCGCGTGTTATAGATAGATTTAAGTAAAATCTATTTAATTTTGAACATGTAATATAAACAATTACTTCGGTTACGCATAATGGATCTTGCTTCTCCTGTCTCTGCAGCTCTCTCCTTATGCTCTTGGTAGATTTTCCTGAGAGAATAAAAAAACCGTTACGTTGCATAAAATTATTCGATAATATTAATATCACAGAAAAGCTGTTCGAACGAGTCTGCTCTTGCATACCTAACTGCTCTAAAAAATGAATAAAAACATTTTCATGTATATATTTTTATATTTCCCTTTTTGACTGATATTCACTTCACTCGTCATACAATATCGGCCGATGTAAAAACAGGAGTATTATGAGTTTGACGTGTCTGATTTTCTGTTTGTCTGTGTAACTGCAGCTCCTAAATAAATGCCTTGATTATTATGAGTTTCTCTTTGTTTCAAAATTGACATGATTGGGATGGTTTGATTTAATTTGACGGGACTGGAATTTTATTTTAATTAATATCTATAGATAATATTGATATCCGAACAATACAGAGGGGGTAGGCATTATTAGTAATGTGGTCTGGTACTAGTAAGTAATGTACAATATCAGGCCGACCTCCATGGGGCCCCCATTACCAAGTAACCAATGTGGTAAATCCTAGTGCATTTGTCACAATGAGCCAATGGACCTGACTACTTCATCCTCTTACTGATCAGGTTTTCTCTGGTGTCCTCCAAGCGTATGCCGTTATGGCATGCAAATGTTCCGTTTCATCAATATCCATAAAGAAATAAAACACACAGATAGACAGACAGGCAAGCAACAAACAGTCAGAGAGACAAACGGACACACAGACAGCAAACAGTCAGAGAAACAAACAAACAATCAGATAGGCAAACAAGCAGACAGATAAACCAACAGACAGAGGGACAAACAAATAGACAGATAGACAAACAAACAGACAGATAGACAGACAAACAGACAGAGAGACAAACGAACAGATAGACAGCAAACAGTCAGAGAGACAAACAAACAGTCAGACGGACAAATAAATAGATTTATTAATATGGAGTATGGATATTATAGCAAGTATGGATATTATAGGACATTGATGGATCGGAACATTTGCATGCCATAACGGTATACGCTTGGAGGACACCAGAGAAAACTTGATTGGTAAGAGGATGAAGTAGTCAGGTCCATTGGCTCATTGTGACAAATGCACTAGGATCAACCACATTGGGCCGCATGGAGGTCGGCCTGATATTGTACATTACCTAGTAGTAGTGGGTCCACCAGACCACATTACTGGTAACCCTCTGTATTATTCGGAACCTTTTGACGACTAAACGGCCGAATGAGCTTTAATTAAATTTACGGTAGAGATAAATTTTATCACAAGGAAAGACGTAGGGTTTATTTTATAACCCAAAAAGCAGAAGAACTCGCCTCAAAAAATATTTTTTTTAAATGTCGGTCTACATAGAAAAGTAATACCTACCTTACCTAGTAATATATCAGATAACATAATATTACATAGTAATATTGACGACAATGGTTAACTAAAGTTTAAATTATGATTAGGATATTACTATAGGTGTACATAAAGACAATGCAATTTTGTACCTTACAATTTGTAATATGAACCACTAACACGAATTTTAGACACGAACTAAAAGTTTTGGTGAAAAGTTTCATTGCGTTCTTCCACACAATTCTTTTTTAAACTAACGCAAACTCAATATCTATATTTCCATGTATTAAGATTGAAAATTGCTTGCATTATGTATTCCAATAAAACAGAAATCGCTTTATACTTTTTAATGTTCGAGTTTATGACGCGATGACGTAGACGACGGTTAAATCCACCAGATGTTCACAGCGAACGATCATCCGAAATGATTGCTTAGTAAATAAGTAATAAAGTTTCATACTAAAACTCATGCACAACAGGATAACGTAACTATTTTACATTAAGTAGGTACCCCATAACCATTTATTGTAACAAACTATAATATCTATAATAAAACATTACATTTTGCAATCTTATCCTATACCGCTGTAATCTGGCTGCTTGATTTTTAAGATATTTACGTCTGAATCAATTGTGATAAATTTTATAAGAAAATTATCAATACGTAGGAAAAGAAACAAAGATATCAAATTTATAAACAAAAATACATAGTATATAACAACCACATTTTGAGAAATAAATTATTTTAAATTATACGTACGTATTATTACGCTTACGTATTATTTTTAGTTTGAAAATAGTCACAAAAAATAAGAGCAAAAGAGTATCTACAGGAACTTTTTTAAGATTAAAAAATATAATTTAGTTTAAAGTTTATAAGATAAATAGTATTAGAGAATATATTACAAACTTTGTAATAATGTAAAAATAAGTAATAGTTTTATTTCTAAGAAAATGTAACTCCCTTTCTATTTAAATAAATAAACATTACCTAAACAATACTAACATTATGATAGATGATAGGAAACTAAAAAAATGAGTAGGTAGATACTTCAAATAATTTTGTTAATAATATTGCATCAAGAAATTACAAATTAAACAACTTTAGAAACTTAATTTTTACTTACCTTCAGAGCAAAACAAAGCCGGAACAACTATAAGCGGTATTTTATAGAAACTAAAAAATACTATGTTCTTATCGAAGATAATTAAACACAAATTAGAAAATTGCTGATAAAAGTAGTAAAAATATCGAAAATGTCTAATAAGACACCACAATATTTTTTAACAAACGACTAACAGTATTAAAATTTATCGAAATTTCCACATCGCGAGCATAATGTGTTTCCACCTGCGGATTCTACCGAAATAAAACATATTTCGTTATTTGTGTGGTAGAATCCGTTCTGTTACTAAGTGAAGGGGTTGGCGTTGGGGATGCGCTGTAGGCGAGTTACTTGGTACTGCGCAGGGTGTCGTACGAATTTCGGGTCTGTGAGGCGACAAAAAGGCGGCGGGATGACGCCGACTCTGATTATTCGAGCTGGCAGACGCTAGTAGATATTATAGCTAGTATAGATCTATGAGCAAATAGGAGGCGACAGCCTAGGTACTTATATAGGTATCGACGGCGTTGCTTGGGGATAACAAGAACATCTTTGTTTCCAATTCTATCGGACGGATACACCACTCGAGCAGGTAAGTCCGCTTAGGAAATAATTAATGTCGCTCAATATAGCAACGTTAGCTTTATTGATTGCTTATTATATAATTAAATTCTCAATAAATATCCAGTTTTAATCTATTGAGTAAATGAATATTAGTAAAGATACCTATTATTTTTTCTGTTCACATATTTAATTGCTGCGTTTGTTCGTGCATCCGGAAGTGATGTCGGAAGAAAAATTAACAAAGGAAGTGTTAAATAAAACAAAATGGAAGGGTGCAGGCTCAGGGTAAGCTACTAATCAAATATCTGATACCAGTTTGTATGCATGATATAAATTATGAATGTGAAGTTATGGTTTTATAGTGACAATGATTATTTTTTTAAGTACCTAACCATTAGCAGTATTAAAATTTTGGTTGAATTATACTTAAATAAAATACAAATAGCGTAAAAAATACTCTGATTGGTATAAAAATAATGTATCTAATTGTAATTATCCGGTTGGTGTTTGTATGGTTATGAAAGGAATTTTCTGAAACTCGTACCTAAGAAATATTTGGATGAAAAAATCAGATAATAAAAATTTTTTGAAGTTTCTTGAAACTAGTAATTAATAAAAAGGAATACGATGCAGTTATGTGAAAAATATAGGAAGCTATTTGTTGCTAGTGACATCTAGTCTAGAACAAAGACAACATCGCCGCGTCGAAACGCCAACGCCTCAGTTATCTCAGATTTAAAAAATAGATTTTCATGGCAGTATACCTTATCCATGTATGAATGTAATAACTATGCGTAATTATATATACCTAAATAAAAATCTTTTTTTCTGTTATCATTCACTATACCTAGTTTAAATGGAACCTTTTTCTGTAGGACACAAAGGTGGATCGATATTCAATAGTTTTACCTGTCTGGAATGCACTTTCATATATTATATTTAAATAAATAAAATACTATTATTAAATAACATTAAGGCTTTCATTTATGTCAGTCTTTGCAATGTCTATAAAAACAATTATACGATTTTCATAATTTCTCTAAATAATTAAAAGACGTATTGTAGCGAATTAGAACATCAATCTTCAACAAGATTTTCAACTAACAGATCAGTCAAAAATGGAGTACAGAAATTTCGAAACTATAATGCGAATCTATCGCTGTATCAAATATTTAGTTTGCTGAAGAGATTTTAAATACCTATTTCATAATAAATATAACTTTATAACTGGTTTCGAAGAGATGTAGTCATTGTGTATTGGTATTGGTAGCAGTTCTTTTCATAACATAATTAATAGCAGTAATGTTTTTATTAATAATTTTATTGACTAGCAATAATATGGCTAAAAACTTTCATTTACAATTAAAAATAATTCATATTGGCAACATTAAAATGTTGCCAATATGAATTGTCACAATCTGCCATTTTGTACTCTAACTGTCATATGTCATGTCATATTCTTATTTGAGGTGTCCATTAAATAAATACATCGATACTTATATTCGCTCCAACATCGAGATTTTTCGACTCAACATCGATTTTTGTTTAATCAATGTAAGTTTTGATGTTTAATCAGAATACACATACTACTTATATATATTTTAAATATTGACTACATTATACAAACAACTAATATAATTTTCAAGTCAATCGCAGTAAGTTTATTAACCTTAATGTCATTGTATTAGTACAGTGATTTTTCAATATTACTACCTATAAACAACAAAAGAGGTAGCATTGAGAGTGAGTGAATGAAATAAATGTCATAGAATTTTGTTTGAACGAATTTAAGAAATTACTATTCATTAGTTTAATCTGATAGCTATTTATGCATAGACATAATTGTCAATTATTATATATAAGTATAAACTTAAAATTATTAAGTATAATGTTAAATTTAACTAATTCTTGTTGTTGTAATTATTAATAAAAAATAATTTCCTAATTTGTTGCCCATCCCACAGTCGTATGTCAAACATCGAGTAAATTCAAATATCGATGGTAAGAAAACATTACGGGAGATCGGTATTAGAAACATCGATGTCATGTTATCGGCGAGTCGCTTACTTCTGTGTATCGATATTGTTGGGTATACAACATTTATATTTCCCACTAAACGTCGATGAATGTCGACATCCCTAGTCCGTAAACCCTAAGGAAATCAATAACATTTGAACAAAAAAGAAAAAAGTGCAACATAAAATGCCAACTATGGCTACTATTGAAATAAAAACACCGTGATTCTATCAGCTCCATATAAATAATTAATCTTTTATCCTTCTCCATTGTCTGAATGGAGTGTACATTGGGTATATTAATTTTATTTTCTGACATTAATCATCGAGTACCGAGGTGCAGCGTTTGGCTGCAGGCCGACGTATGCTAGTGACCTTCGCGCTATATCATGTGGCGAATTGGCGGCACAAATTGATCGTCAGAAGACCCCAGTGGACGTATATTTAATTTAGACCACGATTTTTATTCAATTACTTAACCTTTCAGTCGACATTGCGTTGATATAGAGGTAGGTAAATTTTATACTCGGATATGGATATTTAGTTTACTTTTGCCATAAATTTCTCATAACAAATTGTTTAATTGTATAACACATATTTGAATAATGAAAAATAGAGAAAATGTGTCTTACATTTTATAATGTCTAATTGTGTATTAATTATTTTCAAAAAAGTATGAACCTAAGAATCTAGATATTCTGAAAGCGAGGGTCGTAAATGGTATTATTTTTATGTAATTGGGATGGAAAGTAAGTTACGCACCTGATGGCAAGTGGGTAAATTCACCTATAAACATGAATAATAAAGTACTATGGACACCACATATGTGATGCCTGCAATGCCACTCATGCATTGCCATATTTATATCACGCTTCTTGTCCTGTAATTTTAAAGCCCTACCTCTCCTTTGGCATAAAACATATCTTTCAAAGTAAGCTGTGTAATAGGTTTCCGTGGATTATATGTCACTTTTGTGATGTTCTTCAAGTATACAGGCGAACATTGTCAACTAAAAATTCCTAGTGAATTTGCCACAATGTGCTAACTGACCTGACCTCATGCTCATTTTTCCATCCTACACTGCTGCCTAGCTAGTGTACTGTTAGCGCAGGCAGGAGGAATTTGCCATTATGATATTATCATCCTTAAAAAACAACCTTCAGGTGAACCATAAGCTTAACACTAAACTACTAGTGTAAAAAAATCTCATATTGACTAACAAATATTTGAAATCATGGTAATTTACTATAAAATTAGTTAACTTTTATCATATAATATATATATATATATAGTGCAGTTATAGAATCAAGTAATCCAAAGCATACCCTATGGTAATTACTAACTGTTAATGGTGGTTTACTCAAACATTGCCATTCTGAAGTTAAATGTTATGCCTCTATATCTATAATTTCTAAAAGTATGGGTACTCCATAGGTAATAAAACTTAATTTGGGCAGAAATTAACTACAATTTGTTATATTGATATTAAAAATTCCATTTGTATCATAAAACAGTAATTGTTATAATCTAATTTCATATCAAGTCTTTTAGGGGGGTATTAGTAAGATTATAGATAAAATGTTGATTGTTTATGCTAAACATGTCAATAATCTTTTTGAATACTAGTAAGTAAACGTGAAAGTGTGCTTGTTTGTTACGTTTTCATGGCTAAACATCTGAATATAATGTAATTAATTTTAACATTAAGATATATTGTAAAATGAGATTTATTCTCACAACTACTCTCACAATCTCATTAACACAATATTACATTACCCATGTTAGTTTGCTATTGCTATTCCTCATATTTTTCAATCATCCTGTACATTGCAATACACTATTCATGGTGCCATCTGCGGGTCAAAACATGAACCTTAACTTCTCATTTACTCATATTCATTTACGCTGCCCTAAACAAAAGCGCCCACAACATTTGACAGTAATAAAAATGGTGGAATTAACCCTTGTATTCAATTTGAAAAAAATATCAGATGCTTCCATCAGATATACACTTAAAAACATTTATACAATCTTATATTCTGAAATAAAATAAATATTTCTAAGTTCTATACAATATTATCCTTATATTTGACACATTAATTTAAGAAATATATTTTCATATAGGACATACTTCACAACTGGTACATTTATTTATGTACATATTACTTTTGTAATCAATTTGATAATCAAAACTAAATAAAAATCGAAGACTGTTTTTCTAATTCCAGATTCGTTATGGATGTGAACACCGTGGTGTACATAATTGCCAACTTATGCAGCACTTTAATTATTCTTCTATGTACCTTTATTAAAGTGCCACAGATACTGTACATCAAGGAGAAAAGATCGGCAGATGGAATATACATACAGGCGATGATGATGGAGATGACTGGGTTGGTACATTTATTACTTCAGTTAGGAACCTACATTGAAGTTTCTGCCTCAGATTTTGTAATAAATAATGTAGGGTAGCGAGAAACGCTATCCATTGTTCATTTTATAGAGAATGCAACACTTGCCATAACCTCAAGTCGGTGAAATTACATAATCTTGTTTGGAACCTACCACCATCCTTAGGAATAATATTATTGGTCTTTGTTTCCATTACCGAAAGAATACTCCTTTAACAGCATTAATTTTGTGACACAGATAGAGAGGGCATACATATATAGGCTACATAAATAACTCTTGATTTGCCCTTTGACTGTGCCTAAAATTTCACACCATTTGTAATTTCACAATTTACAATATATTTATAAATTTGAAGTAATTTACAAAAATATCATTTAAATTATTTTTGTTATTCCAAGTTGAAGTACACATTGTAATAAAACAAAATTAGTTTCATGCACCTTACATATAACAAAATCAACATTGTCTGCATTTTATTAGTTAGTTTATTAAACACAATCTAGATAAGGTAATCAATATGTGTATAATATAGTAGCACTAAAATAAGCTTATATACATATATGATACATTTGGTATCTGTTTATTTTCATGCACGTTACTTATCAGATATGTAGCAACCTAGTATTTTCCTGCAGAAAATACACAGAATTGAGTATAATAATATCTCAGGATAATTCACACAGCGTTTTCTAATTACAAGCTAAGCAGAGCTTGTTTTATGGGTTTTAGACAACAGATATATATATATATACATAGATACAATTTTTAAAAATACCTACATATACATAGAAAATATACAGATCGGTACAAGCAATTATACTCATAAATTAAAAAATGTTTGTACCACACTAGGAAACTAACCCTCCACCTCAACCACCAAGGCGGTGCACCAGACCACAGAAGCCGTTGAAAAGAATGCTGCAATTCTGAATTTGAATTTAGTCTATAAATATGGCTGCCTCTCTTTAGAACTCCCTTTGAAAGTTTTAGAACTTTAAATCATAAAATTTAAGCTAGTTTCATACTGTTGAAATTATACTATAAACTAAATCAGTCGTAACTACTACAAGAATAACACTGATTCTTAAGATGCCTATTTTTTTTTCAGCTTCACCATAGTATCTCTTTACAACTATACCAACGAATATGGTGTCATCACGTATTTGGAGTATCCTATAATTCTTATGCAAGTCTATATAATGTTTTACTATGTGTTGAAATATAAGAGGATGCTTCATCTGTCCATCGTACCCGTTGTTGCTATGATCTATTTCTCTTTAGTGGCTGCTTTCATGATTGGTTTAATTCCGAAGGAAATACTCAACTATTTACTGGTATGTTTTTATCTACCCTAATACCGATATAATACTATTTATTGGTATAGTGCCTACTTATGGGCAACAGTAGTATCCTGTACAGTGATGTTGTATTTGAATGTTATTTAAAATAGTACATCTAAAGGAAAACCGCTAGTTTAGTATAATAGCAGTACTACTATAATAATATCATGCATTTATAAATAATCTGCAATATTAAGATAATTATTTTGCCTTTGTGACGTAAATGTTAGTCCGCTGGAATCAATCGAAATTTGAAAAAATGAGCATATTATTAATTGCCAATTATATGATATGTATTCATTTTTCTACATACTAAGGCACATTTTACATGAACTACGTTTATTTTCAGCCTTTCTGTACTCCGTTGAGTGGATTTGCTAAAGTTACATATATTTATGGAATCGTAAAGGCTGGTAATGCTGATGCTGTTTCCCTGACGACATGGATGATTTCTATTTCCTCCAACTTTGGTAATAATCATCCATACCAATAATATAATTGCTTGTTTGTTACCTTTTCATGACTAAACTGTTAAATGGATCTTAATGAATTTTCAAGTGATGATTGGAATAAAATGAGAGACAGTCTAGCTATGTGCTATCTAAAAAAATAGCGTAGTCGCGTTATGGATTGTTTTGTATAGCAAGGTTAAGTTTTGATAGAAATATAGTTTTTTTTATTAAGTCATAACTAAGCTCATGAAGATGAAATGTTCTGCGGGATGTCACCGATTGCGGGTAGCGTAACACCGTTCCTAATAGCAGTTAGCAGTGCATTGCTATTGGCTGAAATGATGATGGTGATGTAAGTGGTAACGTTTGTACATTTTTACGTAGGACATGGTAAGTACTAAATACCTTACCATGCTTACAAGCATTTCGTCTTTACTTGGCGCCATGTTCACTCCTGTATAGGATATTTAGAGACATAACTTAACGAAATCTCGAAAAATGGGTGCTTACACCAATTATATTATTGCTTTGTCACTGCCATAGATTTAAATGTTTTTCTATAATGGAGCATTACAATTTTGCAGCCCGTATCTTCACAGTTTACCTGGACTCGGCTGACTTCAAGCTCATGGCGAACTTTACCATTTCTACCTTGCTCAGCACTGGCGTACTGATTACTGCATTGTATTACCAGAACCAACCACAGCCCATTCGTCATCCGCCGCCGCGTAGGAAGCCCAGCACCAGGAGACATAGCCACTTCGATTAAGCCGTTATTCGATTCATTGATCTTTTACAGGAAACACTGACACTTACGCTTCGATAATAAGGTATTTGATGGCCACTTATTTGACTAGTCAACATAGGAATTTGTCTTTAGCTGTCTTATGAATTAAATATTTTATTTAACGAACAATATTACCCATTTAATTTATATTTTACAATGTTTATAATAGTTCTCTAAAATGCCAAACGTCTATTTAACTTAATTTTATTGTGGAACGGTTTTGTCCTCTTATTTATTATTTTGACCAAAGTAATCAAAACATTAAATGTGAAAGTGGGTTTGTTAGTAGGTTTGTAATGGTAAAAGTGGGCAAGTATGAGTGATGTGGCAAATATTTCAGTAATTGACTCAATTGCATTTAGTAGACGCAAAAGTAATTAAAATAATTACCAAAGAACATGAAAATATTCAATTATACAATAAAGTTTAATGCATTGTAAAATTATAAGTTGTGAAAGAAAAATGAAATAAAAATTATAATATTGTTAATTATTTACTTACACTACTATTGTCAGTAGTAATATATATAAATTATATGAAATTGTGATGATTTTAGATATAAACTACTGTGGCCATTTTGATTATAGTCATAACATTGACAGTTCGTTATAACAGTCTGACATTCGGCTGCAAGTTTATTACTATAATTTAGTTTTTAATAAAATTGATTTAATTACATATTTTATTAATGGTTACCAGTTTTATTGATTAAAGACGTATATACATAATTGAAATATCAAATTAAAGCTAATTCTTTATAATTTATATTTCTTATTGCTGTTTTTGATCTTATTTGAAATTTATTCTCATTGATTAGAAATAATAACATATTTTGATATGCGTAGTAATCTCGCGGCCGGATTCTGCACTATAGAGAACATTAAACAAGAAAGACAAAGGAAAGCGAGTTAGTGAGACAGATACGTTACAATCTTATATATTTTTTTGCGTATTTATAGTTTTTGTTTCTAGTTTAGTCTTTAACATAATATTAGATATGCATCTATCTTTCCCCATAAACGGAGTGGATTAAACCATCACAGAAATAGTTATAGGTGTGGTATCTTACCACAGTATATACTTTTAGTGATAGTACTATATATATTTACCTGCATGAAACCTGTCTTCTCTCTTTGTAAGAAGATACTCCTATAAAGAATCTCTATGTTTAGTGTTTAGTAGTTTGTAGATTAGGAGATTTTAAAGTATTTCGAAGATAGTTCTATCTTTACGCCATTTCCCTTTCTGAACAAATAGAGATCCTTATATTTCTTGATTCCCTCACTTACGTTTCTCATATATAAGAGTCCTCTGAGATACTTGACTTGTTCCTTGCTAAGTATGTGCCCATGTGGGTCTAGGCCCTATTCGGTGCCGGCATTCTTTCATTTTAGCATATAATCCTGTCCAATATTTTTCAAGTATTTATAACCTCGTACAATTTATTTACAAAGTGATTCTAATGTCACTATATACCCTTTATAATCATGATATGCACTATGCAAGTTAATAAAAGGAATCATTGTGAGGCGTGGTTTTTTGAAATGGTAATGCATAAGTCGTATTTCATGTCCTTTCAGTAACCCTAAAATATTATAGCTTTGTCTTTATCATACAATATTAATATGTTTCTGATAATTACTTACTCGCTAATCATGTAATCACGATATAATAGCGTCATATAAAAATAATTATAACCGTAGTACTATTGTTACTTGAAAGTTTTACCGAGGTGTATACCTCGGTAAAACCTTCGTAAAAAGTCATCTGCATCACCTCAGTCTCTCCTATTTCAGCCGCCAAGCAGCTTTAGTGAGCTGTGTTTAGGCTGTAGGGTGTTATGAGGTATGAAATTACTTGAGGCCTATATATAGTCGTAATATCTTAGTCCTCGGGACCGTCAACGCATGAGTGGTATCAAGGACGTCACATGGTAACGTGATGACCGTAGTGCTGTTCATGTAGTGGCGACGGTTACCACTTACCATCAGGTGGGCTGATAGCTTGTTTGTCGTTTCAATTACATGAAATTAAGTAAAGCTCTAAGTAACAATAGCACATTATCAATAGAAATTTACCGAGTATTGTTAGGTTGACTGTTAATGTGAATCGAATTGAGAATATACCAAATGGTATTGTAGATTACGTTTCATTCAAATGCAAATGTATCGCAAATGCGTATAGCAGATGTAATCAACTTTCAGATGTGTTATTCGGTGCACTTTCTATTCGGTCATGTCAATAGTTAGCTTTTAAATCATAGTTATAGTAATACAAGGAATACCTAGGCACTGAACGTACAATTTTTGCAGTCGTAATTATCTAGTCAATTTCACGACTCTTGTATGTATAATTAAAAATATTAGTCATTTCGAAATTTGTCGAGCTTGTAATGCTTAGGAATAAAAATTATGTGGTACATGTAATAGATTGTAAAATGAAAGGATTTCTCCAGTTTTCTCGAAATGTATACGGTTGAAATAGGCACAAATTCCTATGATATGTAAAACAAAAGAATTATAATTTTCAGTAGCGACAATCGTTTCGATATTAAAACAAAAACGCACACAGAGCGCCAGGTTTTCATAGGATTCATTCAAATCTATTAAATTGTGTTTTACTCACTTGTTAAATGTTCTGTTAAGTAATGATAATGACATAGTCTCATGTTTAATTATATTTACTTAAACCAGAATAAGTTAAATGTAAACCTATCAACCTTTAAGTTATGTACAAGAAAACCCAAGATTTTGTGAAAGGTGGGGATGTCCTATCAAATCATAGTTAACATTTTTCGATAATTAAGATATCCTAAATGTGTTTTTAGTATAGGAATTAATGTTTCATGTAAATATATTATAGTAATAGTTCTAATGATGTAAACCAAGTTTTATTCTTAACTCTTGATATTAAATTATTCTGAAGGCTCAATTATGTTCCTATTTACGCAGTATGCTCATTTAAGATATTGTATTTTACAATTATTGCTATAATTTTACTAATTTAGTAAAATTTGAAAAACATCTAGTATTAATTTTTTAATTTTAACTTATTACACGTAATAATTTGTGAGCTCAGATCAACTGAAAAGCCAAGACATATCACAATATAAAAATATAACGAATTATTATTTAACTCGTTTACACTCGAATTAAAGAATAATTGGATTAAAGGGTTAAAATTAAGAAAAAAATACTAAGAAAACTTCTTTATATTGCATCTGTACAACTAAAATAATATTTGTTAAAAATTATACAACAATATTAAATTTAAATATATTCAAAATAAAATTTAGTTACACTGCCAAATTTACACTTTCAGTGGTATACAAACTTAAGAGAAATAAGTTAAACTCTTTACTATTTTAATGTTTTCTGTAGGTCTGAGTGTATGATTTCTAATATTATTGTCGGCTGAAATTATTTGTTACTATATTATTAATATTCTAAAGGTTTCATTCATTGGAGGCCAAATCTTACCGTCTATGTTTATACTATACTATTATATATTTAGAACAGTATCATATAGCATAACAATATTCGAATTGATGTCGATTTGTCGTGTAGCTACACATGTAAGTAGGTTTAAGGTAACTTCCTCTTAATTATGTCTGTCTCTTTATTTATTAATTAATTGGTATTTGGTATCCACATATACATATATACATCATATATCTAATATACATAATTAAAAATAAAGCAATATAAGTGCTAACAACCGCAGAACTAGAACACAACTGGGGCAATTGACCTATTTATTTTTAATGTTTATATAAGTTCAAGGAAGGTTCCTATTTTAGTAATTTTTTTTGTGTCCAATATAAACAGTTCCAACTGTTAATTTATAATTTCATAAAAGTATAGAGTGTAGGAATAGGGTTGAACAGGGTAGAACGGAATAGAATGGGGTTGAACGGGTTAGAGCGGGATAGAATGGGGTAGAACGAAATAAAATAGAAGACACGAGGAAGGGTAATAAGAGATGGCGGGAATGAGGGAAGGTATGTTTTTAAATTCTCAACATAAAAACGACTGATTTTGATCGCCTGTAAAAGCGATTATAAAACATTTTATAGTGTTCTTTAAATTGCCGAGAAGACTTATAATAAAATAATAAAGAATGTAGATATATGAAGTATCTATATGTTTTAAACATATACTTCATTCTATCTTGACTCAAAATTATACATTCTATGACGAATAATATATATGTCTATATTTATTAGTGGTTTCTAGATTATTTAAAATAATCTGACAAAATTGTGATTGGGATATTAAATATTCACTAATTAATTTATTCTACCATTGTAGTATTTCTTTAGGAGGTTAATAGGGTTCGACCCGAGTAATTTCTTTGGACACAATGTGTACTAAAATTGTTGTCAATTTCTGTCTTAAAGCATGTTAATCATTAATGAACTTAGTATTTAGTAATATGTATTATCAGTGTCATGAAAACGTCGTAAATTCGTAGCTTAGATTTTAAGACAAGGGTATTAGGAAGGGGGAAGGGCGAGATTAAGTGGGTAAGAGTTGATCACGAACACGAAAGAGAAGGAAGAACGGATCTATAATGCCTACATTTGGCAATTGCAGTTGGATGTCAATGGGTGTGGATTAAATGTGTGGTTAGAGTAAAAATCGATCGAGCGTTGAATAACATTCATCGGAGTAGAAAGAGTAGTTTGCTCTAAAATTTGTAAAATTTCGTCCCCTCGGATCGAATGGACAGACCTAGAAAAAAAGTATAGACGAATCTCTATGTAAAGTAAAATTAAAGCTATAAAACTTTGCTCGGAACCAATACTCGCTCAAATATATTCATCATTTCTTCGTTAGAAATTGATAAGTAGATAAATAATTTACATACATATTGTTTCTCTCTATAAAATTAACGGCTGATTCTTAGTAGAATGGACGGAAGTGGTAATGATGGAATGTGAGGGGGGAAGGGGGAGGGGGGGGGAAGCGATGAACCGGGTATTAGAATAGAATATAACAGTTTGATTCGTGGTAGAATGGACGGAAGTGGTAATGATGAAATGAGGAGGTGGGGGGGAGTGATGAACCGAGTATTAGAATAGGATAGAACAGGTTGATTTGTGGTAGAATGGATGGAAGTGGTAATGATGAAATGGGGAGGGGGAAGCGATGAACCGGATATAATGAGGTAGAATGGGTAAAAAGGAGTGGAATGAAAATATATTAGAATGCATAAGAAGTGACGATAATAGTAAAGAATAGAGCAGATCTCATTCACTCTTTAAAATTTCAGTACTTCCTTAGTCATAAAACATTTGATTAAAATTATGTAGGATTCGATCTATACTTTTTTGTATTAAGCTCGTAGACTATAATATCATGTTTAATCATAGATGTAATTTAGATTTAACGAATTATAAACTTTTATTTATTATTTACACAATTATTTTCAATTAAGTTTTAGTAATTGTACATTTCTATTTATTCCATTACATTATATAGGAACTGATTTTGAAAAGACAGTTAATTTAATTTTCACATTGTGCCATTTTTTATTAATTATTGTTTTAATTATATTAATTTATTGAAATTATTATTAAATTATTATGATTATTTAAATAAACTATATCAGCATAAATATAAATCTTTCATTTCACATTTCTGTTTCATAAATTACGTTTAATCATTACAGTAGCATACCTACTTATTATAAACTAACATGAAATCTTTATATTTTTTGGGTTTCGTAGTATTGCAAATTTCCTATATATAAAGCTGGCTTTAGGTGGCGTGAAAGAGTATTGTAAATCTCGATGTATACATCTAAAAAATATATATATATTTAGATGCTGTGCGTAGATATAATTTGTGTCATATTTTTCTGTGCGAAGTCACCGAGGACCTAACTTTGCAAATTGCGTTTTGGTTTTAAGTTCATCAAAATTTCACAGACCGGAGTCACCGCATCATAAACCTCAGGCATATATTGTGATCCTTAGTCCTTAGGCCACTTTCTATAGTTTTGATAGGTAAGTCTATCTTGTCTAGAAATAATAAATTTATTATTTCGTGCGTCAATTGTCTAGTACTACAATCATTTCAAGTAGAAGTACTAGACAATTGTTTATAGTTCAAGTCAATACGTTGTGGTTAAGCTGACTTATGGAAGTCTTCAACCATTTTATTGGACTTGGCTCTTCACGAAATATAATGGAATTTTATACAGATTCAGCAGATTTGAATCATGACTTTTCCAAGTGTGGGGACTGGTCTGGTCTAGATCTACAATGGATTTCGTTAACCTATTAAACAAACTATCGGATTTGATTGTTGCCATACCACACAGAAATTAGGAAGGATTAAAAAAAAGTTATACACAAATGATACCAAGATAAGACCTAGACTTTTACAGCCCGCGCTACGGTATACAGCTACTCCAACTTAAATGTACTCACAGAATTGCTTTTATTACACGAACGCGAAGATTCTTTAATTAGACTATTTTTTATGTTTCCTCCGCTAATTCATCATCGATACTTACGAAGTTAAGAAGTCTTTCACTTATGAAGAATAATCAAAACTATTACCTTTTACCACCCCGTAGGTACCAATAATATTGAAGTGGTAGGTATGCACAGCGTTGCGTAGTTTGGAAAGCATATTGTTCGCTTATAATATTTGCGTATATTTGTTTGACTTTCTCACAGCAATTATAGTTTTATTGTCTCACGCATAATATGGCGTTCGTTGTAGATGACGTAGCGAATTGATGGTGAAAAACAATCATTGTTAGACCCCGGTTCATCATTATTTTCTTTCAGTTGTCATATTGTGGTTCTACACATAAAATATATTTTTTAATAAAGCCCTACAATAGTGAAACGTGAGCGAATACTTTTCAAATTTTATATTATTTTTGTGCCGAGCTTCGTTATATATTTTTTTAAATAATACTTATTATAATATCTTTATGTGCGCTCCTTTGTATTAATTTATTATTTAATTATTACGCTGTGCTTATTTGTACATATATAGTAAAATATTCCTATTTTCTATTTGCATATATAAATATGTAATATCATGTCTACAAATAATAATATATATGTATCTATACTCGTTTAATTAATATTTCATTAAAATCATCAGATCAGAGAATTACGGCTATACGTATTACGCACTTAGATTTTGAATTAATTATATGAATTTATTTATATATTTTTAATTTACCATATTACGTAAATAGACAAATATACCGGCTTCTAGTGATCTCGATGTAACTCACTGCAAAAGTTGTCACTGCAAAAACCTTTTCTTAAATTGTTGCAAAGATACCGTCATGACTATTATCCCTAATGGGGTAGTTAGAGGCATTACTAATTATCGATCATATATCACCAAGTCATAATTTTCAGACGTAAATACCTGAACGACTTCATTAGAATATAATATTTGTCTATAAAATTTGAGTATATCCGTAGATAAATAAATTTAAAATATCAGTTCGTAGTAAATTAGATTTTTATCTTCCATCTAATGAACCTAACAAACTTTATACAGATTTCTTCAATATTGTTTCTAACGAATATAATAAGGCTTTTAACAAAAAAACTATCAGTATTATTAACAAAACAAAATTTTCAGAATTGGCTACAAAGGGAATTCTTAAAAGTAGAAATATATTATTTGATTTATATGCTCAAAAAAAATACCGTTTCGATAGTACATTCGTAAATTATGTAAAAAGATACTCAAAAACTTTTAAAAAGGTATGTAATGTAGCAAAGTCTAATTATCTAAATAAAAAAGTTAAAGAGTCCAAGGATAAGATAAGGACAGTGTGGAATATTATTAACAAAGAAACTGGCAAAGTTAAAAGTCCATATAACGATTTTACGTTAAATTATAATGATAAACTAGTAACGTCCACAAAAGAAATTGTCAATATTTTTGAAAATTTTTTCGCTAATATTCCAACTGATATTACTTCCTCTTTGGACTCTTCTCCTAGTACAGCTAAATCATTCCTTATTGACAATGTTGTTTCTTGTCCGGTTACATTTAAATTTACATTTATTGACATTGCTACAATTACTAAAACATTTAAACAATTAAATTTAAAAAATACTGAAGACCATTGGGGCATGTCTGTTAAAGTTATTAACACCGCTATAGATGTTATTGCTCCATATTTAGTAATTATTTTCAATAAATGTATTTCTGATGGTGTTTTTCCCAATTTAATGAAACATAGCAAAATAACTCCACTCTTTAAGTCAGGAGAAAAAACTGTGGTAGGTAATTATAGGCCTATATCTATCTTACCAGTATTGAGTAAAGTGTTTGAAAAAATTATGCTCAATCAAATGCTGCAACACTTTAAAGTAAATAAACTGCTTCACAGTCGACGATTTGATTTCACGGCCGGTAAATCAACTACTGATGCCGGTGTAGCTCTCATTAAATATATATTTGATTCTTGGGAGAGGTCTCAGGATGCAGTCGGTGTATTTTGTGATCTTTCAAAAGCATTTGATTGCGTTGAACATGAAACACTTTTGCTCAAACTTGAACATTACGGTATTAGATATGAAGCACAAAGAATGATGAAATCCTATCTAAATAATAGAATGCAAGTTGTCGAAATAAATGGTGTAAAGTCTGAGGGAACTAGTATTAAAATGGGTGTTCCTCAGGGCTCTATTTTAGGTCCTTTCTTATATTTAGTTTACATAAATGATCTTCCTTATATGGTAGAAAAGATAGCTGACATAGTTCTGTTTGCTGATGATACTTCATTAGTATTCAAAGTCAATCGACATATTGATGATTTGGACGAAGTAAACGGTGCTCTTTCTTATGTTTTAAAATGGTTTACGGCTAATAATATGTTACTAAATGCAAATAAAACTAAATGTATCAAATTTACTCTCCCCAATGTAAGGCCGGTAGATTCAAAAATCACGTTGGACAATAAACCTATTAATTTTGTGGATGATACTGTATTTCTAGGTATCACATTAGATTCCAAGTTGCAATGGGGTGCTCATATTACTAAATTAGCGAGTCGACTTAGTTCTGCCGCTTATGCGGTAAGAAGAATTAGACAATTAACAGACGTGGCAACGGCTAAACTTGTGTACTTTACCTATTTCCATAGCATTATGTCGTATGGTATTTTGTTATGGGGCAAAGCAGCTGATATAAATACAATATTTATTTTACAAAAGAGGGCCATTCGCTCCATTTATAGCATGGGTTCCAGGGAGTCTTTGCGAGAGTGCTTTAAGGAATCAAATATCCTCACCGTTGCTTCTCAATATATTTATGAAAATATCATGTATGCCAGGAAGAATATAGACAGTTTCAAAAGAGTTAGTGATTGCACTAATAAAAGCTTACGTAACAATAACAAACTGATTTTACCTAAATGTCGTTTGGCTAAAGTTAGTAATTCGTTTTATGGCAATTGCGTAAGGTTTTACAATAAAATACCAGAGTCTGTTATAAATCTGCCAGAAAAAAGATTTAAATGTCAAATAAAACACTTCCTTTGCAAAAAAGCTTACTATAAAATTGAAGAATTCGTTAACGATAATAATGTTTTTGTAGAAAAATTTTAAATACATAGCACTGACAATATTATCTGATTACACTAATAATGAGTGCGTAGCGATTTCTATGTGGATTGTCGCATGCCTCTTACTTGTTACACTGTAATTATTAATTAAAAAAAAAACATCTATTAAAAAGAGCAACACACAAGTTTCTTGCTCATTCTTCTTGTGATGAATCTGCATTCCGAATGAGTGGTAGAATCAAAATATGACTATTCAAAAGTGCTTGTAATGAGTTTATTTGAATAAAGATTATTTCTATTACTTTATCAGATTCTGACAAAGAATCCATCTAGGAAGTAGTAGGTATTCTTTTTGAAACAAAAACTTTTATCATAGTAAATCTATAAATTCAAAAATATTAACAGTAATCATACACCTCACACTATGTTTTTGAAGGCGGTTCATAATTATATAGTAGGTACCTATCCTAAATATCACAAATATAAAGTATGATACTACCTTACATATTAGATAGGTATCTATATTATATAGGATAACACTATTAAATACTATACTTCCTTCGCTTTTATTATTTACGTTCCAATAGCAATGAAGTCATCACATAAGGCGTAACTAATTTATCTTAATAATGAAATAATTGTAACATCTGCCTTTCAGTTACATATACAATTTTAAATATTCTTCAGAACTCTTAGTACCTACATAATGGATGTCCAAGGGGATTTCGTCCAGACAATTGCTAATGTGGGCAGCACAATGATCATCCTGTTATGTACATTTATTAAGGTACCACAAATTATGCACATAAAACAGAAACAGTCTGCTAAAGGCATATACTTGCAAGCTATACTGCTGGAAGTCTCTGGGTAAATATATTTGTATATTTTTTATGTTATTATCGACCAAAATGGAGACACAAGATACTTGAAATTGGCAATAACAGAAGTGGCGCAGAGTTACCTGGGTGGTTTTCTAGAACGCCCCGTACGCAACGCAATTAGAGCTGATTTTATATTGTTTATCCACCGAGCCGATTTTATCCCCATCACCTGATATTTATGATTTTAATATCGTGTAGATCCGTCGAAATTTACTAAGGTTTCTAAGGTTTTTAATTCGAATAGGTTTGAAGATATATATAGAAAAAGTTACTATAAATATAAAACACCATTGCAGCTTATATCTAATGTAATAATAATAACTATGGATACTACACAGGGCCATCTAGTCCCTAGGTAAACAGAGCTAGTGTTATGGGTACTAGACAACTGTCAGAAATGTGGAAATTTTTGTTTTATATATTTGTATGTTTACAAAATTCCCAGACAGATATAAACATGATAGTCAAGATTACAAATGTTTAAATAGTACTGTAGCAATCAAGTATTAAGTAAACAAAAATTATGTAGGTAGTTACTTTCAATCATGCTTCTTCATGAAAGTTCATAATTTTTCTTCTTTTCAATATTTCTCCACGGGCAATATTCAGAATTCAAACTGTATTATAAATGTGAAATTGTGTCTTTATGTTTTCTAGTCTTGCTCTATTAAACGACTGAACGAAATTAATTAAATTTGACGAGAAGACAAACTATAAGAACCCCAGTATAACAAGAGAAAACATAGACATTTTCTTATTAAAAAAATATTCAAATTCGTGTGTAGCTAATATTATAAACCTGTTTACAAAAAAGTGTTTGTTTGTTACCTTTTCACATATGGAATGCACGAACGGTCTTTTATCATAAAACAACAGTTCAAGTCGTTGATGATAATTACTAATCTAATACAACTAATCATTATTACCATATTACAGATTCACAATAATAGCACTATATAACTATACAAACCAGTACACCCTCATTACATATCTGGAGTACCCCATAGTTCTTTTGCAAGTGTACACGATGTTTTACTACGTGTTAAAGTATAAGAGCATGCTACACCTACCAAGGGTACATATATGTATCTTCATATATTTCTCTATACTGGCGGCATTCATGACAGGACTGCTGCCTAAAGTGCTTCTTTCTTATCTAATGGTAAGTATTTTATTTACTTGTTTTACTAATAAACTACATTTTATGTGTGTTATTATCTACAGAATCAGTAAATGAAGATTCAGTTATTCTAAAAATTTTGTCACCATCGTTGCACAATATTTATTTGTATTATGTTGTGACCTTGTCTGACGTTATTTTTTTATACTAGGTATTTCTATATTTTAAATATGTTAGACATATGTATATGTGTGTATAAAACACTACTCGGACGCTATATTTTTTAAGAAATTAGATAATATACTGCTTTACATATTCAGATATTATAATATTATTATCTATTTTTTATCATCATATACGCCATATGCGTGCTAAGAGCTTATTATATATCTATTAAAAGCGAAAGTTTGTAACTAATGTATTAGACGAGATTTTTATCATCGCTCCAACTCGCCTATGTATGTAGACGCTGCGTTTGACTTTACGAGATTATTTACAAAACTATCAATTGTACCTACTTATTAAGCTACTCTAAATTAGTTTGTTGATCTTTAGCATGTAGGTATACATAATGCGAATCTCTTCTAAACAAATGTATTACGTGTGTTTTTTTATTAAACGGTGAGCATAGCTTTATGAATGATTTAAGAATCCATAAAATTTAAAAGTAATCTTGCTAGTCATTGTAATTCGCTATTCTCGAGTTGTAGCACGCGTATAAAATTGTAACTTTTCTGCTCTTGACCACTCTAACCCTAATACATTGATGAAGCCGACTGTAGTTGTTATTTCATAATTATGAATACAGAATAAAAGAATATTAATTACGACACTGTTTACACAATTGGTTACCGACTGTACCTATACCTAGTGCCAACATACTACAAAAACTAGGTATATTTGAACAAGGTCCAATGCTTGTGTCAATATATATGTGTATTGTATATGTATTGTTTGATAACTTTAAAGAAGACATAAAAGAATTTTAATTGTGATAAGTTTGTACAAATGGTTAGCTTTCATATGTACCTATGTAGTCTCACAGACATTAATGAAATATCATATTACATAGTATGACACGACTTTAACCGACTTGAAATAGGACGCTTTGAAATCTAGTAGGTACTTCAGAATGTCTTTATCAAGAACTTTTTACATATTCTGCGACGTCTTCGCGAACTTCGACTAATTTTGATGATTACTTTTGAAATTCGCTTATTCGCTCTAATTATTCTCATTTTTATGCTAATTCATTTCATTTCACACCGCCATCGGTGTATTGTATGTATATTATGTATGTATTTACAAAAAAAATCTAAGTGTTCATATCAGCTGTCTAGTACCCGTAACACAACCTCTGCTTATCGTGGGACTAGATGGCGCAATGTTAATTATACAGGGTTATTTATTTATTGTGTATTTTAATATTTCAGCCACTATGCCCTCCACTGAACGGTTTCGCAAAAATTACTCACATGTATGGGATCATCAAGGCAGCTAATGCAGACGCAGTATCATTAACTACGTGGATCATTTCTGTATCAGCTAATTGCGGTTGGTAGTATAATAATTATATTAATATATTTGACGGCCTAAGTGGTCTAGCGGTTTAGCACACACTCTTAGAACCGTTAGTCGTGGGTTCGATTACTCGCCTGGTACAAATTTTGTATTGTTAAGTGTGTATTTAAGTATTTCTATAACACAAGCTCTACTTAGCTTGGAACTAGATGGTGCTGTTCGTCCTATGTATGAATTTGTGTGCGCCCCCGTGTATTATAATTATAATAAAATCCAATATAAGTATTTCATAGATGTTGATAATTATATATATGCGGCGTCATTCGGACGTTTGTTATCGGTTTTTCCATTACCGACATGTTAGGAGTATAAGTTGATATGGACATGAAAGTTACTATAGTTTCGTCCACGCGGTGCCATCCGTAGATTCGAACTGAGAGAGAGAACTCAGCTTGTGCCCGGAAAAGGCACAAAAACTAGAGGCTCGAACCCGGCGGTCCGTAAAGGCTAACGGATGAACCCGAACTGAAATGAACTGAGAGAATACTCAACTCTAAAAAAAGGTGTCATTCGAATTCAACTCTTGGTATCTAAGTAACAATGCTCTAATTAGTTAATATTGGCCAACATAAAGTTGGAAGTATGCTTTTTTTTTATGTAACTGGAATGACAAACAAGTCACTTGATGGTAAGTGGTAACCATCTTCTATAGACATGAACAGCTCTAGACATCTCGTTATCCTTGACGGCCATGATTGCGCTCCTGTGTTGCCGTTCCAGAGCCTCTTATCCTCTTATCATGATTCTTATCCTTGTAATTTCACTGGATGTCTCACTTCGTTGCATAGCGGCTAAAATAGGTGACACTGAGGTATTAACTGAGGCTTACGCCTCTTTAGAAATTCTACCTTAGTGAAAAACTATTACATTTACGTTATTATATTACAACTATTATAGTAAGTAAGAAGTAAATAGTTATAATGTTACATTTTATCTAACAACTGCATTAATTTTATTTCAGCTCGCATATTCACCGTGTATGTGGACTCTGCAGATTGGAGACTGATGGCGAATTTCATTGTCTCCACCACACTTGGTTCTGGAGTGTTAACGTCTGCTATATATTATAAACGAAAAACCGCTCTCCAACAGAGACAGGAAGCTAAGACACATAGTCATAGCGATTAGTCATAAATATAACGAAACAAATTAAAATGCTCTATCAACTTCTGCATATCTTCCTAAGTACCTATAGTTTGCGGAAGTGTTTACATATATTGTGGCAATAATTTTTAACAAACACATTCCTAATTACTTTTAAAATAAGTATATATTAATTTAATTATGTTGTACTGTATTAGTTTAATTTTAAATTAGGATAAATAGATATATGTCTATTTACATATAAAATAATAGACTTATTTGCTAACCTTTAGGTATATATTTCAGTAAGATTGTTTAACATTATTTTTAATTATACTACAATAAAAATAACGTATGAATATTTTACAGTATTCAACTTAATATTTATATCGGATGCTGCTAAATGAGTATATTGCCGTCGTCGGCGTAATTACATGTACCTAAGGGATAACATACACGTGTAATAAATGTGTATATACCAATAACTTTGGAAATTCGAACATCCTTTTAACGTACCGGAGTCAGAACATTTGACACTTTTTTTTGTACATACACACTATCCATATCTTAAGTTAGTGTGCTTATACTACTTTTATTTATAAAGATAAAGCGAACACATCTATTATATAGAACGTTTTAAGGGTCATCCTTTTTAAGTACTTGAAATTTTTGCAATATTTTCTGAGCGGGAGATAGATTTATACACCTTGAAGATTTTATAGTGAGTAATTTAGACCGGATCTTGCGGGGTGTCGTGATCGGGACTGCGCCGCTTCTTGCAGATTTATTATTTTTAGATGATAAGGTTTCTTTTGATGCTAATATTCTCTTAGTCAAGAGAAGCCGTGAACACAGTAGTCTGGGTGTCAATCCATCGGATGAAGATAACGTCACCTTCGTTCTGGGTGACGTAATATTTGAGCCGTGACGTGGAGAGCTTATGTAACATGGTTCGCATCTGTATATATCATGTGGTGACTCAGCAGCACTTTTCACTTCTGGAAGAGCTGGCAAATATTCAGGTTCGCTTGTATTTAATGTATTCTCAGCATCGTCATTTTCGATTTGCATCAAGCCTTGTGGCTCTTGTGCACCGAAACTAGAATGGCTAGCCAATGTCTGTGCTCTCCGTCTGGCCCTGGCTTTGGCTATCTTAATATCACTTTTAGAATTGTAGAAATCTATGTTATCATCGATATATTTGCAAACTGCATCGGCCTCTTCTTGCGGTGAAAAGTGTGCATCACGGAAAAAACCATAACCATTTCGTAGATCGTGAATGCCCTCTATAACTAGCCAGATAAGTGTTCCGATAACTAGAGCTAAAGTTGTAATAACTGCAATAGCTGTGGTAGTATCAGGGCCTGTTAACTTATACTGTATTTTTCCTATCACACCGAATGTGACAATATTATGAGTTATTTTGTTAAAATGAACTCGACATGTATAGAATCCTCTGAGGTTGTTATCGACAGAAGCGACTAATCTCAGAACTTTTCCATCATCCGTCGATTGCATCGCCTTGCCTCTGAAAACGCCATTCAGTGTTGTGTCTAAAAATAACCAATGAGCTGAATGTGGTGATCGTACAAATCTTGCATGGAGACATGTTAGATTCAATTGGTTGGAGTCTCCCCAAGCGATTTCATGATAGGAGCCGGATATACTTGCGGTCCTAGATGATAATTGCACCATGTCATCTTTATATCTTTCCACACTAAAGCGGTGAAGATCTTGTAATTCGTCATTGATTCTTAATGATGCTAATACTCCACTGTAAGATACAAAGTCATCCGGTACATTTTTCCTTATTTCTCTTGGTACACCACCTATATAAAATTCGGCATTGCATATGGAAAGCGATACGGGGGTGTCGCTATCGTTAGCTTGATTTTCTTTTTTTGAAACGTTTTTCTTTAATAATATTTGATGCCAACGATATAAATTCAGTTTATGACTTTCTCGTCGTTTCCGTAAAGTTACATCCACAATAGATACATGAATATGATCATTAGCGTTTATAGTTGCCTCAATGGTATTTGCATCCTTCTTTTTCGAAATGGCTATATCTAGCCATTGGTCTTGGGGACATTCAGCTGAACTTCCACTTTCAGTTCGATATTCTCCTATTAATAGCTTCATTTTTAACCTATTATTTTGTAGAATAATATAAAACCAACTACCGCTAGGTTCATCATGCAGAAACAAAATTGTTCCAACTTCCTTTTTCGATTTCAGTGTAATATCTAAACGCCATTCATTTTGACTATAAAAACACGGTATTCGTAAGTATTGATCGTTATGTAATATCAAATACGCTTCTTCTATATTAGCTTTTTCATAAGCTATATTTGATGTGGAACTTGGAGTAAAATCTGACTTTGCTACACTATAGTCTGGATCAACTACTAATTTCAAGGGAATGAAGTTTAAAAACGCCTCTTGAATTTCTCCATGAAATTTTTCTCCTACTGTGATATACATTTCATCATCAGGCAGCTCTGGGTCGCAAGGAAAAGTACTTCTAAGAGCTACGTGTTCATCATCTAGTCTAATAGTAGCAGCTTCACTTGTAATTGTGATAAGAGCTGTATGCCACACGGCTGGTTCTATAATTGTAGTTGAACACATCCGAGGAAGACCACAAGATTTGGAAGCTCCATTAGCATCTAAGCAAATATGCCATTTTTGAAGGCTAAGCCGCACAAGTGGGTTGTGTATAGTACCTCGACGTACTAAAGTACTATGAGGTGATAATGGCATAAATCGAACATAGAAATGGAATAAAGTAGACCGTTTACTTTCAAAGAAGTAATTTAGAAATGAATCTCCATTTAATACCGCGACAGTATGTGAATGAACTTCACATGGAGACAGATGGCATGATCCAACCTCGATTCTAGAGCCTACGCAATTAATTCCACCATTAGCTGGTATGGGTCTGGTACACGATCTGGATCTTGATCGTTTACCTGCACCACAGCTTTGGGAGCAAGGACCCCAAGAGCCCCAAGCTGACCATCCCCCATCCAGTGTACAACGCTTGTTTTCACAAATCTCTAATTGATCGTGCTGACCTCTACAATGTGTGCCCCAATTTTCTGAAGCACGTGGTGTATACTTTTCGTTACAGGACCTTCTACGACGTCTTACACCAGCGCCACATTTTTCTGAACACGTAGACCATTGTCTCCATTCCGTCCAAGTTCCGGCAACGTCATGAAACGTATCGTCAATTGCACATTGATCACCATCGCAATTTTCCGCCTGAAGCGGCTTTCCTGTACAAACTAAATGTTCAGCTGAAGGAGGTGGAGTGTCGCATCGTCGGAGCCTCCAACGAAGACCTTTTCCACAAAGTGAACCGCAAGCTGACCAGGCACCCCATTGTCCCCATTCGCCTATCACAGGGCAACCCATATTGTGTTTGACACATTGAAGTGCATTCCAAAGTGCCTCGGGATTTAATTGCCACGTATTATCAGTAGCCAGTGCTGCTTCGATAGCTTCAAAGGGGCACTCCATCTGCAGGCATCGCTCCATAAGAGCAGGAACCGTTTCAAGTTGACGTAATGCTTCCAATCGTACAGAATCTCCTTCAGTTAGTTTGCGGTAGTCATTAACAGTACAATTTGATATGTAGCAAGGCTTAGTTTCTTCATCAGAGCCACTGCACGGTAATCCATCTAGAGATGGCGGAGGATTAATGCACCGTCTCGTTCTTTGTTGGTGACCGGCGTCGTTACAGGATCCATGACAGGGTGACCAAGGGCTCCAAGATGTCCATCCTCCATCAACGGGACATTCTGGATCATTGATAACCCCCAGTTCACATTCAAGTCTCCAGATAGCTTGCTGTCGTGTACTGTAAGGCTTCTTACACTGAACTGAAATTACACAGAGTATAAAAGAGAGAATTTGCACATTCATATTAATATTTATTATTTAATTATAAACGTAAAAGACAGACATGACGTAAATATGACGTTTAACGTTGTTGTCGTTTTAAAATTCGTCCAATTTGGACAGGCGAAGAGCATTGCCCATACTGCCTAGTCAGTAGTTACATTAATATTCAGTATATAAATCGTTGTATGTCTTTCGTAGAATATCCGGGCTATTCTTGACTGCTTCAGTCAAGTTGTTTCTTAAGTAGAATGTCCGAAATAATTTTCTTCAGTAATCCATATAATTGGCATAATATGTAATTAGTCATATCTATGTAGGTTTGTACATAAACATAAATGTACAAATTGTCAATAACACCGTTTCTTTATACCTCTTCATGACTGACGTTAACTAATATATATGAACAATTAAATAATACAACTATAAATTCGGAAATATAAGAAAATAAATTAAAAAATTGCAGATAAAATTTCGTACGTAAGTACGTACTACTTACGTACGAAATTTTATCTGCAATTTTTAAATTTATTTTCTTATATTTACCAGAAAACCAGTATTAGCATCAGGCGAAGTAAAAATTATACCGAGTATAGTCTCTAGTCTGTGTAAGCCCTCAGGAGTTAGGAAGGTCTTTATAAAGATACTGTAATAGAATCTCATCTATTATTCGGTTGGTAAAATTTAAAGAAATTAAAAAAGTATATAAATAAAAATACTTCATAAAATAAATATAATATTTAATAATTCTTGCAATTATAAAATACTTTCACATAAACAATTTTATGCCACACTAAAATAATTGTAAGCAATCATTTAATCACAGATATAAAATTAATAACAGGTTTCATATTAATACCTATAAATATATTAACAATCCAAATTTAAAAACAGAGTGTTATTGTACTTTAGACACTAAAAATGTTATTTTCAAATAAAATAAAAATTGAAACGTCATATGGTATATACCTATCTTTGCCTTGCAAACAATGAAGATAATATTGCACATGCATTTTGTAAATTGAATATTATTCAAGCTACGATAGTATTATTACTTAACCTACCCTACTCGCACAGGCACTCAAAATCCGCGGTATGACTTATGGAGTGGCTGAAAACAGACTAAGATATGAAGGCAGCAGATTGAAGTCAACAAGAGTAGAAGACATGTCTGAACACAATATGTTATACATTTTATTAGGGTAAGTTTAGACACAAAAGAGAGGGGACACAATATCGATGAGAGAGATGGTTACAAGATTTCGTCATTTAATAAATTATACTTGAATTTTGAAAAATTTAAAAAGGGCCTAATTAGTAATTAAGTAAAAGCAAGGCAACGATGAGTTTAATATTCTGATAGCAAATTATTGACCACCTTGTTGTCATATAAATATGTACATATAAAATTAATTTCTCAATAGATCCCAACTAATTTGTAACTAAAGATATAGCCACCACTTACAAATTTGTAAGGATAGTACCAGGAATTACAAAATTTGGTAAATGCTCTATACTATATGTATATGTAATATCACAATAAGCACATAATATCTACAAGTGTATAAAAGCTCAGCATATGTAGGAGTTCTGTTACATTTTTATAATAGCGTAGGTATACGTATTACTTTATGAAATATATGGGACCGTATCTCTATTTCAGTCAGTTGTAAGTACAGAACAGATATGAAAATTAATTATCATCACACGAATATCATACCCTCAACACTTGTCACATTTGTAAGATTCCTCTTCTCTAATGTGACGTCATATATAATACAATTTAACACTAGTAAACAGAACGTAAACTCGAAAAATTAACACTGTGTGTAGATAGTACTGTAGATACTTACTAATACCACGAATAAAAAAACATGTTGTTTGGTGAACCCAAAATATAGGTAGAATACAATCAATCATTTTATTGCTGATGACGCATCAGTTATAAATAAATGTTAAAGTAAAGATACTAAAGTGCATATCCTTTCTTTTATTCAATCAATTATAAAGTATTTTATAAAAATAGGCAATTGAAACGCCTAGAAGATTGTGTCCACAAATAAGATTCTAAAATTCTTATACGAATAATTCTCTCGACAAGATTACAGATTAGAGTTGGCAATTCCGATATATAAACAGTAATTTGATAGGTAATTAATATATTGCGGATTTTGGTAACTGATTAATACAGTTATAATTATATAGAATTAGTCATACTGGGTATACTAAGCCGAAATCCAGTGTTACATTGATTATCTTTGTCATAGAAGTAAAATGGGAATAATTATAATTATAGTTTTTTCTGTTTAGTATTACGACACACCCTTTACAACTAAGCCTATATTTTATCTATACTAATATTATAGAGAGAAAACATTATATTGTTTGTTTTTTGCATCAAATAGGCTCTGAAACGACTGGACCGATTTGAAAATTCTTTAACATTAGAATCCTACATTGTACCTGACAAACATAGGTGATATAATATATTCAAAAACCGTAGGGAACCTCATTGAACATCTGTACATATAATAAATATTCCACAACAGAAATTTCACTAATATTTCTTTTCATATTGAAATTTAATAGATAAGTACCCAGTTTTGAGGATGATTATATGCAAAGAATATTGGACTGTGCAGTAGTAATGAATAAGATTGCTTATCAACGTTTTCTGAAACCATCAACCACTTTTGGAGCCAGTCCCTCATATCATTATTTGACAAATGGCTACCATTGAGACCTCGTATGTGACAGGCGTACCGAAGTGTTTCCATAGTTAATTTGTCGACACCACCCTCACGAATAATAGCTTTATCCATTTCTAAAAGTAGGAAGGCTCGATACTTTAATTTGTTTCTTCTAAAGATACTCCGTCTCAGACCATGCATTTTTAATAAGTGACCCTGAAACATATATAAACATGTGATTATTTAAAATGCTAAAAACTGATATAGACTGACATAAATAGAATCATTTATCTATAATAATAATAACTACCATGACTTTGCTCCATGTATATTATTATTATTTTGTTTTTGAATGCACAGAACAAATTTGTCTTAGTTATATTACAATCTACACCATTTATAACTCAATAATAATTATATTATAGAGTTATAAATGGTGTAAAGACTGATTAAATAATTTCTGATTTGTTGAATTCATCTCAGCCATTACAATAATTTCAGCATTAAAATGCAAATTGGAATTATTCACGTAACGACAAAGTATATTTTCAGGTAAAATAATCAAAATGACATGTATATAGAAATAATGAGAACAAATAACAACTATCAGTGTCAAATCGGTAATTCCAGGTTGTTCCAGATCAGTCGGTAAATGAGTCAACTTTTTAGTCGCAAAAGTTTAATATTTATTAACTGTTGGGCGGTACGAAGTTTGTCGAGTCAGCTATTTGCCTAGAAATACGATAAAAAATTCAATAGGAGTCAATACCTATCGACTACATATCAAGGTGATCACGATACCGTTCTACAAGGACAATAAATAATTAAATAACCCTGAACAATTAACACAGTGCCATCTAGTCCAATGGTAAACAGAACTTGTATTATGGTATGCCTAGTAGGCAACTGATATAAATACATAGATGAATATCTTTTGTAATTACATACATATTATACATAGAAAAGACCAGATCCAGATCCAGACCGATACAAACAATCATATTCATGAATACAAATGTTTGCATTGAGCGAGGAATCGAACCTGCAACCATCAATAAATGGTCACACTATAATTATTGTTTTGTTAATAAGAATACTTACGGCATGTGCATATGGTAAACTTTCCAACTGGTAAGGCTCCTTTACGAACAGCTCTTTACATTCCAATACATCATTAGGCGTTGGATGTACCCCAGAACCTAGTAGGGCTAGCACACGTCTCCATTTTTCTTTTATTTCATTGTTTGGAATCATATCTAATTTAGCTTGAAGTGCTCGGAATACAGGCTTATTATTTTTAAGACGTTCAGTGAGATCTTGCATAGAGAATTCTAGCCTTTGTTGTATTGACCAGAAGTGTGAGCATAGAAGTGATTTAGGTTTTAAAAAACTGAAAAATAACATTACAATCATATTATATATACGCAATTGTAAGCTAATGATAACATACAACATTAATTTGTTAAGTTATTACTTTTTGCCACGGCTGTATATAGGGTTGGTTAGAAGTATACTAATACAATACAAATAAATTAGTAAGTAAATAAGGAAATATGTTGTAATTCTGAAAAAAGGAGCATGTTGCTAAATTTTTTTGTATTATTTATTTACATGAGCTTCCTTCTTTTCTGAAGAGATTTTTAATATTTAAGAAATGTTGTTTTAAATATAAACCCTTGCAGCTTATAATTTGTAAAAATCAGTTCTGATGTTTATTTTTATAGTGTAAACAAAATATATATTTGAAGATATATATAGAATACATATGTGATTCAGAGATGTTTATAATAACTAAAATAGTTCTAATCATTTACACAAGCGTAAGCTTAGTGCAGGGATAGTAGTTAAAATATTTTATCTATATTCATTAATGTAAAAATGTAGTATAAACGAAATAGATAAATAAATACAATAATTGCCTTTATTATCAGGAAACATGGTGATGAAATTAGATGGTACGTATCAGAATGCCATTATAAAACAATCTAACCTAACCATGTTTGTCAACAGTTGCAGTACCTTTTACCATTTGCTACAAAATGAACAATTTATTTTATTTGTTATTTATGTGTTGTAAGTTAAAGTGAAAATTATTATTAAAAATGTTTTATTTAAAAAACAATTCCAAATTATTGGCATATTGACAAATTTTCAATATTCAGACTGCTTCTATGAAGTAAACTATATTAATCTTAACTTTATCTTTATATTAACTAAATCCTTAGATATTTTTGTCAACGGTATGTGGTTCATATTAGCTTGATTTTATGTCTTCACTAATAGCACCAAAGGAAATAAGTGAGGTTACTTTTACTACTATTATGAAAATATGGACAATAATTTTCATCCCCAACTTAAGAAATTCCAGAATCTTATAAATTTCACAATAGGGATGAGGAAGGAGAAAAAGTTCGAGATTATATTGATAATTTAAGGAAATTGACTTTGTAATTTCAATGATACTGACTGCACCTTGCATGATTGATTAGCCTTAGACATATCAATCAGATGCATAGCTTTGGGGAGTAAAGTAGAGTTTCAACATAATATGATGCAACAAAGAGCATATATTATCATGAGGAAGAAGTCAATATTAAAGTTAGAAAATTACAGCAGTCATCTGTAAACAGGCACACTGATAGTGAAAATTTTATAACAACAATGTTGAACTATGTAAAAACTTGTTTTAAGTGTTAGTGCAAAAATTAAGTAGTTAAGTGTTGTTTAGTGTATAAAAAAATAAAGAACCTGAATAGTGATAGTAAGCAAGGGGAAGCTCCTGTTAGAAGCCATCTTGGGAAAAACATGTCATATATTGCACTTGAATGGTTACTTGGATAATATTCAGTCTTGTTTCTATCAGAGTGGAGTATGTTCTACCAAATATAGTGTCCAGAGATGTGTATATTACAGGAAATACTTTGTAAAATATATTGTAATACTTACGCTAATGGAAATATAATATAATTTCCAAATGGAATAGCAGAGAGTATCAGTACAGGTGCTATCCTCCACATATCAGAGGGCATTTTTTGGTACAACTCAATTTCTTGTCGGCTCATGTTTGCAAAGCCTTGATCTCTGCTAATTCTAATGCGTAATGATATATATGTTTTTAAGTCTCTAAGAAAATCTGTAATACCGACACTGAATACTCTGTACATTTTTACTGCTGTTGGGAATCTATTCTCTAAAACTTTGGTGTAGTTCTTTACATAGTCAATGTATCGTTGGACGACATATGTCCGGAACTTTTCTTTTTCCGTTTTTAGCGCCTTCGTGTGTTTCGATCGGTCTGTTGTTGCGAACCTGTATTGTTTAAGCATGACACATTAATTAGCAATATTAGAATGCTGACGCAAGTATTGTTTATTCTTACACATACTATATAACAAATTTTTCTTCAGCCCGTAGTAATATTTGTAAAAATTATGTAAAATATCTATCCGACATTCGACCTTCAATATATTTATTTAATTTTATATTTCTGCTTCATAAAGCATTGTTAAAAAATAAGGAGTTTTTCCAATATTTTGTTTAGCATAATACGTATTAATTTCCTACATTTGCGTAGTTATAAGTAAAATTAAATAATATACCTGTACTTGTTGATTTCACGAAAGTTTCTTTTTATCAGTGTATTTGAACGGCTGTATTGTAGCATTAAGGTCGACATGGGGACTATTCTATGAATAGACATTTTAATAATAAATAAGTTCACCATCCACATACACAAAATTAAATATTAATAAGTATTCTGTTCAAAATATTATTATAAATTTAAAAGTAGAAGGGAAAAATTGTTTTTGTCGTCTTAAAAATCTAATGTCAAAAGAATGACAGAGTAGGTGCTGTCAAACAAAGTTTGACATTGACAATTTTCTCATTTATTTCTTGACATTGACAGATTTGACATTTATTATTTGACTTTGACACATTCACCTTTACTTGACATTGACACATTTGACATTTATTACTTAACATTGACACTTTTGACATTAAATATTTGACATTGACATTTTTGTGGCACTTATTCCAATGACATATGTCAATTTATGCGCTGTCAGCTGTCAAAAGAATTTACGTAAACCTGTCTAAAGATGGCGCTAATGTATTATAATGTAGATATCGAGTCATCAAAGTAATATCTAAATCATATAGATTTAGATAATTACTTTGGTGACTCCACCTTTGCTATTAAAAAATACGAGTATATACAGATGGGGTCGCAAGCCATTGCTTTTTATAAATCTTTATTTGGCATTCTTTAGTCAATTTTTACGGATATATTATTAGAGCACGATGAAGTCAATTTTAGTTGTTAGCACTAGATAATAATATCTAATGCACAAATGCAAATATCTGAACAACATATATCTGAAAAATGAATATTCTAGGATCTCTTTATCCTGACTAAGCGACAATATGGCTAACTCCAATATATATTTGGAAATCGCCCATTAATTGACGAAGAACATACATAACATAGGGATCGAACATAGAATTTCATCTTTTTTCGCGATCCGTTAAAAATAATATCGAATGCGTCTGCCCTCGACAGCAGCTGGTTTAATTGTATAAGTATATATTCGATACGCTAATTAGGTAATATGAAGCCATGATGAGATATAAAAATTAAAACTAAGTAATTTGTTATCCGTCAATGTCAGAAAACCATCTAAAAAGAATGAGCAGCAATTCACGGTAAAACAATTAATTTTAATAAGAATATTGAATAAAAAAGTAACCCTTTTTAATAACGTGACTATTTTCTTATATGATTTATGTTTTAGTATTTTTCGATGTGAAGAATGTTTTGGTCCTAATGAGGATGATTTTAGGAAAGTGGCTGTGCTCAAAAAATCTGGTCTTACCATTTACGTACACATCAAAGAAAAAGAAACGGTAATCTACTTTTAAATCTTATTAAGTTGGTAGGTACGCTTTCATTCATCGACATTTGAAAGAACTAAAGACATCCCTTTTATTCCATTTCTAATTTATGTTATCCTGGTAAGGTGATATACCTATCTAATACAGCAGTTAGTTAGCAATAATTTTACTTAAAATGTCCACAGTCGATAAAACAAGAAGGTTTATGGTTGGCAAATTTTGTGCCAAATTTGTGCCCAAGGGCCAATTTTGTGCCCAAACGCAGGGTAGAGCGACGCTCTGGAAGATGGAATGATCAGCTTAAATTTGTTTGTTGTAAAGAAAATTCTCCGTGGATTTCGATATATATGAGCCCATATTGTATGGGTTCATATACATACCAAGTGTCACGTTCTGTGCGTCATAATGCGGACCATATTTTTAATTTGTCAGTGATTTTTGAATAAGTATTCTGATTACCTACTTTCTAATTTTAGATAAGATTTACATATTACTTACAGGATTTTATAGGTATTATTAACATAATACCTGTTAATGGTACACAGCTACTCAGGTATCTAGGGCATCTTGCTCATCATGAAGAGGTTACTACAATGTAGGTAGACAAAGATTTTGCAACAGTCCTAAGACTGACAAAAAAGATTTAAATTACTTATTAAACACATTCTTTGTAAAAAAGTTTATTATATAATAAAATTGAATAGTTTATAATAAACTTTAATGATATATTTGTTTAATATCTAACTTAAAAGTCATAGTGCTGACAATATTATCTCTGTACAATAAGATTGAGACGTAGCGGTTTCTATGTTGATTGTCACATGCCTTCAACTTGTTAATGTGTATTAACTTAGATCAATATTTATTTAAAGGCAAAAGTGTTAATACAAGCACTTCTGAATAGGCATGTTTTTTATCCTACTACTCATTGGGAACGCAGACTCATCACATCAATGAGCAAGAAACGTGTTTATTGCTTTTATATAAATATTGTTGTAAGCTCATTTTAATAAAGCTTATTCCTCTTTTATTCCATTCATGCCTTGATTCAAATTAAATTTTGCCTTGTTGGATTATCATTAATTCACTATCAATAACGTTCATAAGAATATATCAATGGCTCGATTGTCCTCCATTAATAAAACCAGTGAAGACCCGACCAAATTAAGAACTATAACTACTAATTGAACCTAACCAAATGCTAAATTCTCTGTACACAGGTACAACCTATGTTGTTTTAGCGAGTGAGTGAATCATATTTATATTGATCTGTAATTTATTTGTAACTTCAGATTCCGTTAAATTTTTGCAGCAAACAAATACAGAACGGTTGAATTGGAGGAAATATGCCACATTCATATTGCACAACACAAACAATAATGATTTGAAAAGGCCGAGTTATATTGCTGAACTTTGTGAGTCTATTTCATTGCAATTGCTAGTATATTCCCAAGTCTAATTTAAAACCAAACTATCTCATAACTCAGCAGAGTTTCATAACGACATCTAGACACTTTTGTACCTTGTCATAATGACATTATATTGGATACAATATAATGTACAATATTTGGAAATTCTTAATAATTCCATTATGACGAAGTACCTACATAATGGTTTATATACCTACTGATTTTACTGCATGTCATTGTGATATACATAAGAAAAAAATCATACTTCTGTTTTAAAAAGCGTCTAGGATATATATATCCATGATTAAAATATTTATGTTACACAGGAATCGATCTCGTAATTATTAAATTACGAGGTAGCGTGTCACACTACCAAGGTCATTTTATTTCTTATTAGGTAGTTACTGTTCATTTTTGAATCACTTAAATTCTGTAGAATTAGAGATAGCTAGTTAAAGTTATATAGGTATACAGTTATTAAATGTTGGCCGGTGTTAGGTAAATTACTGGGTTCATTACAGTGGAGCTTCTCTATTTCCTAGAAATTATGTGACTTGTACTTATAATCTCGATAGACAAATTTCATTTTTCAAATTTCATTACAGGTCAATATAAAACTAAATGCTTGCATTGCAAGACCCTAATAGAAAAAGTTCATGGGCTATTAGACGAGATAAAAGCAATTAGAAAAAAGGAGACGATCGGTGTCTGTGAATATTGTAAACAGTCAAATACATTGTCTAAGTGTAAAAGATGTGAATTTGTAGTCAATAAGTTTCTTAGTAATAAAGTGCAACAACGTGAAGAAAGGCAAGAAAGACTTAGGATATGGTTGTATAATGTGAAATTACTTTTGCAGTTCATTTTAGAAGGAAAAATTATCTGTAAACAGTCATTTTACCATGATCCGTATACAGTAGACGAGCTAAAAGTACTTTTGCAAGAATTGAAAGTCCCGTTATCTGTGCGAGAACCACAAATAGATTTTTTTCCCACAACAGATGATTTAATGTCTTGTGAAAGCTTGTCTGAAAATAAAGATAGGATCGAAGAACTGTTGCTAAGACTGAAATATGAAGGTGCAAAAAAACATCATAATTTAGATGAAAGTCTAAATTCATCTTCTTCTAATATTGAGGCCAACTGTTTTTGGAAAGAATTCATAGAAAAATCCTTGGAAAATAAAAATGCATTGCCAAAATCTCCAAATCTAAAAGTGGATAAAAAATGGTCCACAGAGAAGAAATACGTTCTGAAACAGGATGAAAAAATGTTGATAAATGATTCTGAGAAAAATAAATATAAATACGTTCTGAAACAGGATGAAAAAATGGTGATAAATGATTCTGAGAAAAATAAATATCCATCCTTATTACCTGTTGATACAAAAAAAATGTCCGAAAGTGGTGAAAAAGTGTCGAAAAATAAAATAAATTCTAGTAAAAAAAAAGTCAATAAAGAGAAATCGCAAGATGATATGATACCAAACTTAGTTAATGAGAAGGAAAAATTCACAAAACAAGAGAAACCAAAACATTCTATAGATTTAATACAAAAAAGTATAAGAGAAAGACAAAAAATGAAAAAGTTGAAGAATAAAGAACAAAGAGTTACAGAAAAAGTAATGTTGGTAAAACTAACGAAACCTCCTATAGATAAAAAGTTGTTAAACTTTAAGCATCATAGAGAAGAAATAGTAGATACGTCTAAAAGTTCATTAGATTGTGGAAATGAGAGTCAACCGCCAAAAGAAATGATTAAAGGAACGTCAATTGTTCCTTTAGATAACTTTTGGAATAAAGAATATATTGATACTAAAATGCCACTTCTGTACAAAGTAAAAACAACATTGCCTACTCCTGGTGATGAACTTGTAATATCTAGTAATCATGCTTCTTCTATTTTAGATACAGCAAAAAATACTAAAATTGAATTTAGTAATGTAAGACCTAGTTTATTTAATTTGATTTGTAAAATATTTTTTTTATTATATATTATTATGAGATTAATGAATAATAATAATTTATTTTAGAAGGACTGGTTGGGGAAAGGTATTATACGATATAAGTTATCCAATCGAGAGTTCATTGATAAAGGTTGGACAAAGTTACCAAGTACAAAAATTATGAGAAGGGTTATTATTACGACGATATATAGATTTTATTATTAATTAATAGCAGTAAAGTAACAATAGTAAACTTTTAACTATGATCTTTTATTCTTAATATGTGGAGATAATTTTTAATATTTCTTTTTAATTTCAAGTAATTCTCAAAACGTATAATGTACATTATTGTACATGCATTTACTTAAATTCAATAAAGATTGATAAAGTAGTAGTACAGTGTTGCGTCTGGTTAACTATTAGAAATAAAGAAAATTTACAGTACTCACTTGTGCTAATTTGAATTTAGATGAATATTTATAAAATGATGCCTGCAAATCCCAAATATGATTGGTTCGAGCGACACAGAAATATGAAAAATAAGTTTTACGATACTGGTGAAAAACTAGCAGAAATCGATAGCAATGGTCGGGGTAAATGGTTTTATAAAAATGGTAACATAGCACTGGATTATTTTAGTACTGACGGTAAATTAAATCTGTTATATTGAAGTTGATTATTATAAGCACCTATTTACTCCGATAATATTTGTGTATATACATATATATCTTACAGAACAAAATTGCGGAAATAGATACATTATTTTTAGCTCTGGAGAAAAAGACGAAAATGGATTTTCAAGGCCTACGACTGTACTTGGAACTTTTGATTATCTGGGAAATGGAGTCGTGTATGATGTTATCGGAAATCAAAGGTGAGTTGTTTAATTAATAATTTGTGATTAGCTGGCAATTCTAAATAGATTTAATATTTATTTGACTCATTTAAAATATTTTAGGTTGAAATATAATCAATCTGAAGGTATAATAATAGATCAGAAGATTGGGCCTCCAAGCCGCTGGAAATGGCACGATCTGAACGAGCCACCAATTTTACAGCCAGTCTTCGTAGACAAATACGACAAGAGTCTCAACACTTGTTTAGATGAGTTTAAATTAAGTCAAAGTGATAATAGATCAGACTCTAGTAAGTGTTCTAGAGAGACAAATATAGAAATGCTTCATATAGAACTTGAAAACTTTTTAAAGGAAAAAGCTCATAAACTATTACAGAAATTCAAGCCATTTCAAATAAAGATGAAGGCTTTAAAATTGAACAAACAGTTTTCTTTAAGAATAATGGATCAGGCAAATATTTATCTATTATTTAGAGATGGTAGAACTTCATTAAAACTTAATTTAGGCTTGCACTTAATTAGTAATGAAATTGTGGATACTGAAACTGCTGAAGTATTTCAAGTAGCAACACGGTATGATATTCACCCTCCTAGAAGTCAAAGCATTGCTGATGTACAGAATTATATAAGGAAGGTGAAAACTATTGGTAAAGTTGAAATGGGATCTGATGAATCAAAAACATGAAGTGTATTTACATTTATTATTTATGTCGGAGAAAATTTTTATTTAATTTCTAAAGTTGTAATTTATGTTTTAAGAATAGCTGGGTTGGTGTTAGTTTCTTACACTATTTTTGTTATTATTATTATTTTAATAAAAGTTCTAAAATTATTCATTTGTATTCTCATTATATCTATTTATAGTTAAGAACAGGCAATGATTAGTTATATACAAGTGACGTATACAAAATAATAGGCCTAGCTTTTGCCGTTTCAAAATAACAATTCTGTCACTAATAAAAAAAACTCTATCTATAATAAATAACTGAACTGACCACTTTCACGATATATTTTATTTCGTGTCACGTGGAGATGTTGCCTATCAAGTAAAGTCAATTTATCATGAGCGTCAACTGCCATTTGTCATTAATAGATCGATAAGTTACTGTAATACTGATGTTTACTTTGCACCGTTTTAGTCGGTCACATTCAACATTTTATATGAAGTATTGAAGGACTTATAGAGGGGAAAGGGTGAAATTCACCATCATACCTTACCGCCTAGAGAAATGGTCACGTACACTTCACGAGTGAACTCTGATATTGTAGAAGTATAAGCCCCTACCGAAAGTTTCCCTAGAGCACCAAGTTCATTTATAGAACAACGTTCCATGATTTCTTCAGGATCAACAACGCGAACGTGACGCTTCTATTTCCCCGGACAAGCAGTATGCTTGTTTAGCATAATAGTGGTCTAAAAACGTCTGTTATGAAATAACAAATTGAGTATTTCTCTTGTAATAGTATGCCAGAATACATATTCATGAGATGCCATTCAGAGCATTCATATCGTGTACTTGAAAATTGCGATAGCGTTGCAGAAACAAAAGCTTCTGCGGAGTCTGCGTGTAGCGAAATGAAAAAAATGTAATACAAATTGGCTCTCTCGATTGCTGAACCAATTATACGAGTATATATAGATATATAGATAGAAATATTTTAAAATATATGAATTAGTATGTTTTATGCTGGACTTGGTTTTTAACTGCAACAGTAGTTTTATATTGAATTTCATATTTTATAGTTATATGGCAACTGGTTATATAGTTAGTTATAATAGTATAATTTATTTACATTAAATAAATCATTTATGAAACTACGAGATGGTCAATATCTCAGACAGAATATTCAAATGGAAAAAAAATATGTTTATTAACTATACTTATTTAACTATATATTACGAACAGGACTCAAATTCTATACCTTGACGACTGTTATTACAGATATCAGAGACACTGTTAGCTATTGATATTAATTGAGAAGGGGATTGTTAGTAAGTTGGCCTAATGACATAATTGCTAGGGATGTACCATATTGACCTCCAAACAGTTACCCCTGGAAACCATCGTGACATTTCTGGCAAATTCGCTACAATGGACTAACTGATTTGACCTCAAGGAAATTTATTATTCACTACTGGTGCTACGCCAGCGTAAACCAAATGAAGTTCAGGCAAGTGCCTGCACAACGTTTTATTTGTGCAGCATTCCATTATCATCCGTTAAAAACTATCTAATCGATGGAGAATCTGACACTTTGCATATCCCACATTTTACGCTATATATAAATATACGGCGTAAAATTTGAAATGACCTGCCAACCTTACTGGCGTACTTCAAATTGATTTGGTATTGGTGTATTTTGAATACAATTACGTATAAATGAATTACTCTGTATACATTGTAAAGCGCTATCGTTCTAAATGAAGCGCAGCTTACTTAGTTGCTAAACCACTGTTTACAGACTACAATATGTAATATTCAGTGCTATATATACTTAAACATTGAGATATGGACGGACACCTAGTATGACAAATGCAAACAGGCATACTCATGAATATTAATTGTATTGTATAGTGTCAAACCTGCGCTTCTCGGAAGGCTTGATTAAATAACTATATTAAAGAGACCCTCAAATATATAATGTCTTCGACAATATCTTTATATTACATGCTAGCTGTACTCGCGATTTCGTCCGCTTGGAAATTAACTTTATTTTTCTAAAATAAAAGTAGCCTAAGTTACTCCTCATTACATTAGCTACCTGGCAAAAAAATCCCATCAAAGTCGGTCCAGTCATTTCAGAGATTAGCCGGAACACACAGACAGACAAAAATTATTTATATTCACATGCAATGCTTGTAGTAAAAAATTGTTGTTTAATATTACAAACAGACACTCCAATTATATTTTTATGTATAGATTTAGATAGCTATATCCTACTATTATTTTGAGGTTTTTTTATGTTTATGTAAATGGCAAACAACAAGTTTTGCGGGAGGTCCTTGATGACGTCTTCCGGGCTGAAATGATGACGATGATGATGAAACAACCTGATAAGTGGTTACCGTCGCCTATATTCATCAACAGCGCCAGGCACAGCCCATCATCGTGTGAAGCTTGTGATACTCATGAGAACTAAGATGTAAATAGATAAGAATAGATAGATATAGATAAACTAATATTTGTTACTATTTTTACCCGATTTCGAATGATATTTGTTTTACAAATAGACTAGACTATATCTATATTAAAACGTCCTTTTTACCCGATTTCACGTATTTAGTGCCCCAGAGTAGGTACGTCTAGTACCCATATTATACAGTAACTTACCTACACATTATTAATCCTTTGAATGAGGTAATGTTTCACGATTCAGTCTTCATTGTTATCTTTTCACAAGACTTCATGTTTAGCTCTAATATAGAGCTTTTTAGCATATATCAGACTGAAAAACGAAATTAATCTATCTATTATATATCAAATTTTTGTAGGCTATGGAAAACAGGACGAGTGAAATTAAAATATCATAACAAATCTTAATCCATTTATTTATACTTATGAACTCTACAGATAGGCTAACTTAACCATAATATAATCCAAATATATATATATTACTAGTAAATGTTATGTATATCTGTAATTAGTCTAATTGTTATATTAGATAACGTAGCTTTCATTTGCAATTTAATGTATAATTTACAAGCTGTTGATATATCTTATTGAATAAAGTAAAGTCTCGCTGCCGTTTATTAGTAGGGATTATATATTAATTCAATATATAAAACAAAGTCACTGCTTATATTTGTCTGTTTGTTTGTTGTTTCTTACTTTATATAAATCATACATTAGGATTTCACTTACTTAGTATCTAAATGATTTCCATTAAAAATAAGTATCTACGCGTTAAAACATTTTGAAATTAGTAAATGTCCAAAAATATAATATGCATTATTACTAGCTATCATATATTTGTAATCGTCCATATTTTTTTCGGTTCATTGGCTATGACATCGATTTTTCAGAACCTTGTCCTCAATTAATAATTCAACAATACGCGTCTCTGATTATATGGTAATTTATTTATGTACAAGGAACTTATTACTTCCTCTTTGCTTACAATATTCAGGACCCGTTGACATTAAAATACATATTACGAATAACTGTTACTGGCGTCCAATGACAATTGTAACCGTTTACCATTATTTTATGGTAAGCGGGCCGTATGCTTTGTTGCCACCAACATAGTGTACAAAAAATTAAGCAACCGTTCCGTTTCGAACGGGATAGCAGAAACACAAACAGAGTGAAAGCTCTGTGTTGCTGACAGAATTCATTGTTTGTGTGAAAAAAAAAACAGAAGACAGAATCGCGGACGGACAAAAGAAAATACTAAAACGGGAGTGTGACGTTATAAAAATCTATAATAGAGAAGTTTGAAATTCTGAAGTTTGATTTTAAATATGAAAACATTATGGTGTATGCCACTTGCCACTCCCTTTTATATGCCGTGTGGATCCTGGCCCCTCTGCACCCCCATGCACCCACAGCTCCCTGTCTATTGATATCCCTCTTGTTATATATGTGTAATTGTATATTCTACGTGTATGATAGTATACATTCATAAAATCAGTAACATAGTATAAATAACCTGCCATGTTTCCTTTTATTTCTCCTAACGGATATGATATGATGCAATCCGAATCTGGTGGTGAATATAAAAAATGTTATTCAAAAGCACTCAGATAATTTTTATTTAAATAACGATTATATTTCTGTTCTATTCAATTCTATTTACTGCATTATCAACACTACAATGTATAAATTTGCAAGCTACCATAGCAGTATGAATAATTGCTTAATACTCATCCTTATTATACCCCTAATTACATATTGTAGTCTGATGAAGAGGATAATAAAATCTTTAATGTTTAGATAAACATTAAAAATTATTGGACATGACATCTTGGTCTTACCGAATTGCAATCTTTGCCGTCGCATGATAACGATGTCCATAGTCTTGGAAACTCCAACAAAAATAGGTATTAAAACCTCTTCAATTATTTATTTCATAATATTTAAATATAGAAAGATGTGTTCTCAAGATATCAATTGTTATTTGTTTTTATGATTTTCAATATTTTTGTTACACTGCTAATTATATCAACATTTTAATAAATATATATAATTACAATTTATTTATCAAGCTTGATATTTTATAATTATGTACAACGAATACACCTCAATACCACGCATCTCGTTGAGATCGACACACATAGTGATGTTCACGTATGTAGGCGACGGTTACCGCTTATCATAAGCCAGTCAGCTTGTTTGTCATTCCAATTACAAAAAGAATATTATTTTAAAATTATTAATATTCCGCAACAGCCTCTAACACGTTACATTATGAGAAGGAAAAAACGAAATAACGTACGAGAGAATCTCAATATATTTCAGGCAATAAAATGTCTCGTAAAAGTTATGTGCCAAACACAATCTCGGGCACAATACCGTGTTCAGTCTTGTCACGATCCCACGTAGTTGGCCGGGAAGCGGAATTACAGCCAGTGAGCGAATGAGTAATTAATTAATAGATGTCAACGTGATACAATATCTATATAAATAAAGGCAATTGCCGGATGTCTGTAAGCGCATCACTTCATACTGGCGTCAACTAATTGGC